AAAATAACTTGTGCTTAACCTACTTCCTGCTCAGCGACGCCGTTTCAATAAAAATAAACCTTAACTTAAAGCGCCATAGTATAGATTAGAGTAAACCAGGTTAGACTCTACATCTACTTGATTACTTTCGTATGAAAACGTTTTTTACGGCAAGGAATTAGAATACATTTTTGCATTTCTCTGTCGGAGGCTGACTTTTATGTTTCCTTTTCCTCAATTTCCAGTTTTGTGAGGTCAACAACCGAGGAAAACTGTAGTGGTGTGAAGAATGCTTCTTGACGACATATCTTGTCAACACTACCTACACTGGCTCTGGCTGTAAAACGTTTCAGTCCATGGAGGTACCTTCTTGAGACGGCTACTCAATGGGCTCTACAAACATCCAACTTTGATAAGTTCTGGTGTAAGAGTCGCTCACGCTTTAAACTTATATCAAATAAGTCAAGAAACTTACGACTGATCAAACGGTTTACCAATAAAATTTAATGAAGTGAGTCACATCTATCGCGTCCGAATGTTTACATAATTTATTGTTTCAGTCAACACTGTCTTGAAAATACCCGGTGCTGCGTCATTACTTAGATCGATATCCTATGAAATAAGATTATAATTAAATTGATTCCCCCTAGTCCTTTCCATCGTACCACAAGACAATCTTCACCCACAGATGTAGATGTCACCCACACGCACGAAACGCTTCGCATCAAGCTTCCTTGTGCGTACTGCTAAGGAGTGGAATTATTTGCCAGAGTCTGTATGTCCTGAAGGGTCTAACCTGGGTGTCTTCAAGGCCCGAGTGAATAGGTTGCTTATAGGTCGACGTGCTCCATCGTAGGCCACATCATCGCTTACCACCAGGCGAGATAGTGGCCAAACGTCAGTCCCATCCAATATAAAAAAAAAATAATAGGGAGCAGGTAAATACATGATACATGGCACTATTGTAGTATTGTACTGACCAGCAACCACTTGCTGCCACTTGCCACCGACCACCGCCCACAAGTTCCACAGAACTCGAGTTGACTCACTCAACGCATAGATTTATGGCTTCTAGGAAACTAAATAAACATATTTGTAAAAATAATTTACCTACTGGGTTTAGATAATTTATTCTAAACAAGTTAAAGCCTACTTGTACAGAATATTGATAGAGTTTAGATGGTTCTTTCTACACAATAATCTACGTACGACTTGTAGGTCCGTATGCGTTAACCATCCTCCTGAACTGATAAACAATGTTCCATGAACTTAAATTCGTTGAATTAATGTAAATAAAAAACAATATTTGTAGTCCTGTAAAATAGTTACATGTTATACGAACACGATATACGAAATTGATTGTTGATGGCATACAATAGATTTATTATCTCAGTCCCTACTAACCATTAACTATAAAACTAATTAACCATTACATGAACATTAAAATAGTTACAATTTACAAATAAATACAGTCTATGACAAATAATTTGTCAGACAAAGTCATTTCAGCCCATTACGTGGTTTAATTTAACTCTACATAAAATTATTATTATTTTTATTAAAAAGCCCAAAACCAAAGACTATGTTATACAGAAATAACATTAATAAAAATCTTATTATCAATTTTAATCAGTTTACCTTTATCCATTTTATTAAATAAACACCAAATATAAAACTAAAACATAAAAAGAACGAACAAAAAGAATCGCTGAGGACAGGATTCGAACCTGCGCGGGTAGAACCCATTGGATTTCAAGTCCAACTCCTTAACCACTCGGACACCTCAGCTGTGGTAAAAGTCGCGAAATTGTAAATTAGAATCTATGTACCTATAGTTATAGATAATATGAGCGTTTGTGTATCTACTGTTTAATAAAGTAGGTGAATGAATGTATAACTTTGTAAATCGCACGCGCATCACTGACTCATAAAATTAAGTTGATAATCTAGGTCGTCTTATAGAAATGAAAGCAATTTTTTGTTAACCTAACCTATTTGTATAAAATATTTCCTAACTTTAATAAAATTGTTATTGTAATCAGCAATTGCTTAATACCTAGTTACATTTCAAAACGATTTTATTTATTTAATGTTTGTTACCAATGAGTGCAAAATGTAACAAAACTAAAATCATGAGGACGCGTAAGTACCTACTTAATTAAAAAAAAACAAAGACAAAACAAAACTTACTCACCCTGTAGGTACAGATAATAGTATGTTGTACCAAATAAGTTAATTGACGTCACAAACCACCATGTAGTGAGAAGTCAGCACTCATTTAGTTAACCAGAAACTGGGCAACTATTCCAGTAGAGATCTACTGTTACAAAGTCCGCTGAGGTAATTAAATATTGTTCTATGTAAATTGTTGTGAAGATAGATTGTTAACGTGAATTAGGGAAAAAATTACGGCATTAATTTTCAGTTCAATGAACGGCTTCCACTTTTCCTTAAGAGTTTTAACTGAAACTTGTGAAAAATTATTGCTTCCGATGTAAAAATTTACGAATTTTTCGCACCCCTTATTGATTTTACATCAATTTGTGAGTGAGTGTTAATTTATCGAGCAGAGGGATTCTTGTTACAGGATTCCTCCCCTAATTTCTTGCTTTTGTTTTCTATTGGAAGCCAGTTCCTTTTGTACTTTGATACTTTGTCACAACACAAATAAGTACTTCGGTAATTAAAGAACAAGAGCTCGGATTTTTTTGCTGTAACAAGCGTGGTTAGACGAAAACGTTTATTACTTTTATTAGCCATTAAGAGCAAGCATTCTACGGCATTTTATTAATACTAACTATAGAGGTACAATAAAATATTCTATATAGCCTTCTTTACATTATTAACGTATTTTAAATACTTTTAAAGTTTCTACATTATTTGTAAAGAAAAAAATCGATAGTTTTGCGGCAAAATGTGCAAACTTACGATAAATTGCGTTCGTTAATAATATAGGCGCATGCCAGGCGTACAGTACAGTGCAGTGCCAGTGCATACATATAATAAATGTAAATATTTCAGTCGTGCTGTGTATAGTCAAGTAGTGCTGACTGCCGACACACCGAGTGTACTTGCCGATGCATTTGTTCCACGCCACTGAAAGAGTGCACTCTACTGACTTGTAGGCTTGCAGGGTTACCAAACAGGGTGAAATTACATACATACATAGTTGTTCCTACTTTTAATTTGACAACTCTTTATTAGTTTAGAGGAACTCAATACATTTTCATATTATAGGCTACTTATTATTCGGTCCCAATCAACACAATATCTCGACAGATTAGCTATTAGAGTACCTACTTCCGTAACGTGCTCGTCTTTTTGAAAATTTAAATAAATTTGGAGACCATTGACACCATGACACACACTAGGTAACACAGGCTCCAGATAATTTTTATTACATTAATATTTATTAGAATAAACAAGACTCGAAATAAGCAATACATTTAATATTTCGAACAAACGACCCATCAGAATTTCGTCTAGCCACTCGCAAAAATAGGTTCAGTAGCAAAGCCAAGCTCAGTGCACTCGTGTTTGTTTCATATTTCACACGTTTTAGCTTCGAATGGCGAACTTTATGCACGTTAGGTGTCCTCGTCTCTCTTTACGAACATATTCATGTTAATGTCTATACCAAAAATAATACACAGCGTCCTTTGTATTGTAATAGGTATGTGCCTTAGTTCCAAATGTGACAAAAAACAATTTAAAGTTATGTTTTCAGATCATAACTTTAAATAACTTGAATTTGAAATAAAGTCATAGCTTATTGCAAAACCTGTTTGCCGGTTATAAATTATATTACTTATATGTACACGAGCTTGGATTCGAATATGTTTTAAGTCTAAAGTAAAATAATATCATCATTAAACAGTCGCATACATGTCGGCAATGCATTCATAAGGCATTGGTGTATTTATTATAGTTAGTCAATGGCGACCGCATGCCATGAAGCCTGTAAATTTGGTTGCCACTGGTAATAGTATACTTACCTACATTTTTTAAATAGGTATTAGCAGTCATATTTTCCTGAAGGAAAACTTTAATTAGCATTAGCATTAGCATTTTCGATGTTAACAATATACGAACGCTATACAGTCTATGGTAAACAGTACCTACACTACCGCTATTTTCCGGTCTCCAGTGAAGTTGACAGAGGCACAGTAGAGGTATATTATTGTGTGGCAAAAGTTTTTATACTACAGAAAAGGTCTAAATCTGCTGTTTATTGTCTACTTGGATACTAATTTTTGAATGACTTTTACATTATGTTTTATTCTTTGCGTAGTGTTAGCACAGACAACCTACTACTCGAATTAAAGGTATAATGTAGAATTGTAACAATCACTATAGATAAGCAGAAAAACATTCCAGTCTTATCATATACCTTTATTAATGATAACAACACCAATTTCTAATATGATTTCTTATGCACGCTACTGCTATTACTGTAAAGTTACACTGAACTGTTAAAACGGAAGGTGTGTATTGTGCATAATTATGTACCTACGTTTCTCATGCTCTTCTTTCATATCTGCTGCCTACTGCTGCGGCTGCGTCATGAAATAGCGTAGAAAAGAAAATGTCAATGATTCTTTACACGCATTATAAATATTTAAAACGTGATCCATAAAAATGAATAATTATATTCCTTAAGCAACCACTTATGACTTTTGAAAAAGATGTTACAAATATTAAACTCTATATGAGTTGTGAGAGTGTTTAGTATAACAACAATGTACGATCATTGTTTTATTGATAATAAACGGAGTTTAATGAATATATTACTCAAGTCCAATCAAAATCTGTGTCTGCGTATATCGGAACGTTGTTTTCATGATGGCAGGTGTGTCATTCATATGTTTTGATTTTTTACATAAATAGTACGTTATAAAAATATCAAATGTTTATTAATATTTATAACAAAAAAAATAGTAAATGCAACAGTGACCGTGTGACTGTGTGATGTGTATGTGACGCAGTTGCAGCAGTGGTGTGTGTGGCGCAGAATATGATAGATGGTAGTGGAGGGACGCGGGTGCTGTAAAATGCCTTGCGAAAGCTGCGCCGTGCAGTTCAGCATGTTCAAGCGTAAGCGAGCATGCAGCGAATGCGAGAGGTTCTACTGCAGCAGCTGCTTGCGGCGAGGCGGCGGCGCCATGTGCGCTCCCTGCCGGGTGCTGTCCACCCGTCCGCTCACCAAACAGGCTATATCCCACTTGAAAGTGCGCGACGTACAGTGCTTCTTACAGCGACAGAATGTCTCCACCAGGGGCTGCGTTGGTATGTCTTGCCTGGAACTCTGTAACACACACTAGGTACAGACTACAGACACTGCAGTACATTAATAAAACCAAATATAATAAGAACTTGTAGTTAATAAAGTTTTCTTTTAACCGAAGTAGTTGGTACATTATCGGCTATTCCTAAGAATACTCTCTGTCTGCGTAGTGAACAGGGTCTTTAACCCATAGGGTTAAAGAAAGCAAAGTTAAATGGATTTTGAGTTCTCCATCCACTCTCTAAATGTGATTATGACTGATATACATAGTTATGGTAATATTTCATAATCTATTTTGAAAAAGAAAAGTGAAAATTGATTTATTTTACAGTTAAATCTACACTTTGCCCGACCCGTAGGTTCCTAGTCCTACACAGACCATCACAAATATTGGGCCTCCTAAACTCACCATAGTGTTGGAAGTTAATCGATCCTGTGTCAATGAGTGTCAAACAATATATTTTAAACTACCACAATATTGTTATATATGTAAAATTAAATCTATATATAATGATTTATGACAACCTGTAAGCTAATATCATGTCAATATGCAGAAAAGGAAGAGTTGCTGAACTTGTGTGTGTCACACGTAAACAGCACTGCATACAGACGCCGGGGCTCGCGCACCGGTGCCAGCCCGTTCAGTTCACTGAAAGGATTCACAAGCAACATCAATGACTTCATCAACTCTGCTTTTGACATGCGCAACAACCCACAGCCACCACAGCCCGCCGCTAGAGGATGTGCCAGTTAGTAGAATATCTTATCTTGCATTAATAAATTAATTACATTGTCTGTCTGCAAAATAAAGATATTCTAGAACTTTGTTGAAAGATTACAAACAATCTATGTTGATATGATAGAAGCATACATTTCTTTAAAGATTTTAAACAATATACATGTTCTATCTGAAATGAAGCCCACCTGTATTACTTTTACCAGAGTTAGGTGAGGGATCATCCATTGCATGGCACAATGTATTAGTGTCACCACATTATGTTTATCACTAATATACAAATATGATTCAGCTGACTCATGCAAGTAATTCTAGAATAAAATAGATACTATCTAAAAAGATATAATGAGTAACTGTTATGTTATCTACTGTTTCATAAATTATGTTTTGATTGCTCACTCTAAGTGGTAGGATATTGCTTTCCAACTTATGAATATGATATTTTTGAATGATAAGCACCTCTGCCTACCCTATTTGGGGTGACATAATATTTTCTTTTATTTATTGCAAATGACTTATAAGTTGCATCTGATCTGATACATGTATGCTTTTTTTTTAAATTATTATGTTTTCGGCTTACTCACGTAACAATTTGACGAGGACTCGACTAGTTTCAAGCCATGCTAGAGGCTCATATTCATGAGCAGCATTTTGACCCGCGACGCGGCGACTGTCGCGCTGCTACATTTTTTTTTTTTAATCTAAAATACTATTTTTTTCCTCAGGTTAGATTGTCTATCATTTGATTTTGGACCTTATCATTGTATGATTATAAATTATCATATTTAAATTTTGAGGCACTTTGTATTTTAAGCCATATTAATTTGTGTACAGATTTATTTAAGTAAGAAATTATTTATTTTGTAAATATTACATCCTAAAACATGTGTATGATTACAGGCAATTGCTTCAACTCTGCTCATGTCCACAATAACATAAGTGGTGAAGTTCCTTCTAATCGTCAGAGGCCACAAGGAGAACGGTTTACAACTACACCAGGTACTTGAAACTATAATCTACATATATAGAACATTTATATATTCAGCTTTTTATCATATCACTATTCTAATTATTCCCTATTGTTATTGACTGTACCTTATTGGAATTAATTATGTTGTAAGTAAAGTATGTTTATACTTGTAAACAATGTCGTATCCCGTGCAGGTGGAGAACCCGACATTTGTGTACCCGTCCCGGAGTCGTCAGTGTCCCGCAGCGTGTCCGCCGAGAGCGCGCGCGTCGACACTGCTGACTGTTTCGAAATCGAAGACCTGGATGACACTGGCTGGGAGTTTGTCAACCGACCTGCTGATCCCTTGCCAAATGGTAGTTTTTGAGAATCTTTTTTCACATTACCTTGTTCAGATCATTAGATTATTATTAGATTATAACTGTTTCACTAAACTGATGATATATTTTAATAGTAAAAAAGGGTTGTCTAAAAATAATCATAATGATGTTGAGCCAGACTCGGAGGTGTTGCTGAGTACGTCGGCCAGCTTCCAGCGTCGCACTAGTGGGGGAGAGCGGGAAGCGGACCGGCCGCCCGAACATGCAACCGAGCGTAGGACGGAACGAAGGGCGGAGCGGCCAGCCGACCGGGCGGCGGAGCGCAGTACGGAGCGAGACGAGCGCAGTACGGAGCGAGACGAGCGCAGTACGGAGCGAGACGAGCGGGAGGAGCGAGTGGTGGAGCGCGCCGCGTCGGAGCTGGAGCTGCGGTCGCCGGCGGCGCGCTCGCACGACTCCGTGAGTCTGCACGACGCGCCGCTCCTGGACCGCGAGGAGCTCAGCCACCACGGTACGTGCCGGCACTTCACCAGCTTCTTCGACATCTACACACTTGGACAACACATTACACTTTAACTAGCTGTTGCCCGCGGCTTCGTCCGCGTAGATTAATGACTTCTGACAGAATTCATCAGAATCAATTCAGTGCCAAAGTAAGATTTACCTATTGTGAAATGATTTATCGTAGTTTCAATAAATAAATAATGCTGCAGGGACTTTAACAGTACAGTGCCCGATCACCTAAGGTTTGAATAATAAATACTATTCTATCGACTATTGTTGTACCGAATCTCTCCAAAATAAGTTCAGTGGTTAAGAGATAGAGGCCTGGGGCATTGACGCATCGTTCCCGTTCCCGTGGGACTTCTGTGATAAAAACTATCATACGTTACCCAGGTCTCAAATCATCATTTTACCGAATGTAATACAAAAAGATTCAATGATTCTAGATTAAATGGATAAGAAGATTTATATAAACTCTCATTCCCTATTTTATCCCCTTAGGGGTGGAATTTATCAAAATCCTTTCTAAGGAGATACCTATGTCATAGTAACTTTATGCATGCAAAGTCTCAGCCCGATTGGTTTAAAAGTGATCAAAATCCTTTCTTAGAGGATGCTTACGCCAAAACATCTACCGGCACGCCGAATTTCAACCCGATCGGTTTAAATTGACAAAGTTTCATATAAACTTTCACCCCCTATTTAACCCATTGGGGGTGAAAATTATCAAACTTCTTTCTTAAATGATGCTTACACCATAACATTTACCAGTATGCTGAATTTCAACCCGATCGGTTGAAAATTGACAAAGTTTCATAGAAAATTTCAACTCCCATTTTATCCCCTTGGGGAAGAAAATGATCAAAATACTTTCTTAGCGGATGTCTACGTCATAACATCTATCTGCATGCCAAATTTCAGCCCGATCCGTCCAGTGGTTTGGCCTGTGCGTTGATATATATATAGAAAAGTATCATTGGAGAACTTTGATATGTTATGTAATACTAGTTATGTATATACAAAAATATAGCTCATAGTATGGTTTTCGGCAGGTACACCTAAACACATAAGTTTAGAACAATTCAAGCGGCCGTCGGACCTGGACGTGCTGAACGTGAAGCAGCTAAAGGAGCTGCTGGTGCGGAACCGCGTGGAGTACAGGGGCTGCCTAGAGAGGAAGGACCTGCTGGAGCGCGCCAAGACGCTGTGGAGGAACCACGCCCAGTACTGCGACGGTGAGTGTCTGCGGGCGGGGCGGGCGGGGCGGGCGGGGCTGGCGGCGGGTGCTGACGGCGCGCTTGTTGCAGACGTGGACAACCTGCCGGCGGAGGAGTGCTGCAAGATCTGCATGGCGGCGCCGCTGGAGTGCGTGCTGCTGGAGTGCGGCCACATCGCGGCCTGCACGGCCTGCGCCAAGCAGCTGGCCGAGTGCCCCATCTGTCGCCAGTACGTGGTGCGCGCCGTGCGCTTCTTCCGCTCCTGAACACTCCTTGTTGTCGCGCTACTTGATGTTGTCGGATATACAATAGAAACGTTTCAATTATCCTTCCATGAAATCGTAATGTTATCACGTGGGTAACTGTTAAATTGCCATGGTCGTGATCTGCGTCAATAAGAGATCTACATAATAATAATGCTTGCTGTTTATAATTCCGACATCATGTAGGTGTAGGAAACACATAGCGATGGCGTAGAACAATAATTGGCGTGTCGTTGCAAACCTAAACTGGCGCTAACTACTATTGCAGTGACAGTTGCGTTGCAGTAGAGAAACTGTTTTAGTTTGTACGATGATGTGTGGAGCCGTCCCGAAGTAAGTTGGGCGCCGACAATGCAACAAGCCATAGTCGTGCGCACCTTGCGCCGGCGCAGACCGCTGCGCCGCTCGTCGCACGCTATGCCAAAAGTACAGAACTGATCTTGTAAATATTGTGACTGTTAATATTTTTACCAGTTTTCTACAAATGTAAACTGTTGTTATGTATATTTAAATTGTCGCTCTGCGCCGTTGTAACACAATGGATCGTGTTTTGGTATGTACCGTGATTTACAATTTATGAAGTAACTCAATGAATTATATTATCAATGTGAAATTCCGAACGTAGTGCAGTATGGTGTAGTCGTGTAACGCATACTGCGTCCTCGACCCTCACGATGTCCTGAATGTATTCATAGTTACATCAGACTCTCCTTGTTCATTTTGAACATGTTATATTATTTTGTATTTCCTATAGTACACCGCAACTTTCCGAGCTAACAGGGCAGACTGTTCAGACAATAAGTCAAAACTCGCTACGGAAGCTATTTATCATTAATTGAGCATTCGCAGCTGTAGTTAGGTGTAAAAAATTTAAAAATGGTTAGAAATAGCTCAAAATTGTTTATAAAAACGACTATAGTTGGTATGTAAATAGTCAACTTACATGTGGTGAGCCGATTGATGGATAGGCGCCATTGTGTTACATAGACACATTTCATGGTGCGACCGTCTTACAGCGGATAAAGTGGAACGCTATCTATACGGATGATTAAAACCGACTTCATTAAGCACATCACGTCGTGGCCAGCAAAAGTGCGACATCATGATCTGGCCAATCCATGGGTCGGCCCACGACATGCGCACTCGTACCGGCTCTACCTTCAGTGACCACCTGCTATGTAAACAAGTTATTGTGCAATGCATTATTCACAGAGAAAGGTCCCTGCTGACTATAGTCGCATACTCTTTAGTTTTATATTTATTATTAAATTGTTGTTAGTGAGATAGGAAACGCGGGCTGTGTAATGCTTCGAATGATTCCCTGCGGTGAGCGCACGTGCGTGATCCAGTGTCAAGCAATGTAACATTCTGTTGTATTGTGTCAATATTCATATAGTATGTCGAACGATATTGTTCACATGACCTCATGGTCCATATCATTATTCGTATTTAATATTTTCTTCAAGTAATTAATTGGTTATATAATTTAGTACTTATTTAAAAAATTGTATATTGCCTAAAAGGTTTAGTGACATTGAACTGGATCCGACTCGGTAATGGTGTAACTGTATGACTGAGCTCCATGGAGTATTGTTTATGTTTCTTTGTATTAGTTAAGTACATGTACTATAATCAGCGCCATGTATCTTTGAAAACGTTCCCCTAGTTGAATGAAATACTCGTGGTATATCGATACATTTACACCTCGTCGAATGACTTTTATAACATACTTCACCAATAATCATGTGTAACGATGGTATGTTATAGGGCACTCATGTGAGTGTCTGCTATATGAGATATTGAGTCCCCAGCTTCACTTATGTGTATATAAAATATACGACGTATATATACTTTATTTTTGTAATGTAGATGCAGAGAGCCAGTCTCTGAGAATGTTAGCCCACTGACAATGACGAGAGTCTTCATACGTATGGTACATGTGAGTCGAATAAATTCCTTACAAAAATGAAACCTCCATAAATATGTACATCTCAGGTTCAGGTAAAATACACACCACACACCAGGCGGGCGTCGTGTCACCCGTCTAATAATAACACACCAAATATTAACGTTATTCTAACACAGAACACTAGCTACAATCTGAAAACTATTAGCCAAATAATCTTAACTTCTCTCTCTCACTTTTATTGGCTCTGATCTAAGGGACTGCCTCCACGAGCGAGAGAATCGCGACGAATCCGCCCTTATATCGTCGGATAATCTCCACGAACAAGCGATAATTCCGCCGCGTATCGTCGCGAGTCGTTACGGTATCGCAGCGATTCCGCGGCGACTCGTAACGGTATCGCCGCGTTTCCTTGACGACTTCTAGAGACGTCTTCGCTTAACGAGAGGCAATGCTGAAATGACGCTGCGTTTGACAGCGCGCCCGCCGCGCGCTCGTCGCGAGAGCGCCGCGAGCGCGCGGCGGTAGCGTTGCTAATCGCGACGGGCTAGCGACGATGTAATGACGTTTTGCGCGCTCGTTGCCACTCGTCGCATCGCGGCGATAATATCGCCGTGTGGAGACGGTTCCATAGAGAGTGTATAGAAAAACGTGGCACGGCGATAATATCGCCGCGATTCTCTCGCTCGTGGAGACAGCCCCTTACTGACAGCTGTTAAATATCGTGTGTATAATTGTGCTTAAGAATGTTCTTAATTTCCTACACACATACGTGGTTACAGATTTACTTTAACAAATTGAATTCGTCTATTTCTGGTTGTGAACTTGGTAAAATAAAATAAAATACGTAATTAATTACAGGGTACCTATAGGAAATAGCTGGGAACTGTCGTCTATTTGTAAATAGGTTTCTCGATTACCCTAGATAGCAACAAACAACACGGTACATTGTAGTACATTGTACATTGTAGAGGTAGTTTCAACTATCAAACATATTTGCAACTTCCATCTCGACTTTCGAGATTCCTAATCTCCAAGACAAAGCGTGATCCGACAACCCGCGATGTGTTCTGTGTAGGTTAACGTCTCGTTCTTGTAACTCCTTCAACTTTCCCCGGAGATATACTGTATAGTGGCAGATCTAGTACCATACGATGAAACTTTCTTGAAATACTATGGTAAACGAAGTTCCGTGTAAATATGAGTATTTTCAATAAAATTGTAACACATAGATAAGTTGAATACACGGTAAAGCCTTTATTATAATTTTATTGCCTCTCCCACGCCTTTACCCTGAGATACTATGAGTGAGTGACCACAATAAACCATACTATCTTTTTTTCTGTCATTACCAATTACTTTGCAAGATCGGGGGTGTCACACTGCGTAACCATTCCATTTTAGCCGTCATTATCCCTATTATGCCCAGTGTTTGGCAATAGGCTCACATCAATAACACATAATTTTTATCCCAATACTAGATCTGTATAACATCGTAAGATGTCTATTAAAAAGTTGGCAGGAAACACTCTTGGAATGACATTTGTGTTTTAGTGAGAAATGCGCCATATTCAGAGGGACCAGGACTTCCTAAAATCAGGATGAAATGTATGCATAGATCAAAGAGTTAAAAAGGGTAAACGGCTTTCAAGGATATAAGAATTGCATGCATCCCTTATTGAATTGAAATCAAACGTAATTGACTTAAAAATATACAATTTATATTTTTTTTAACAATTTGCCACAATCGTCGTTTTGTTCCTACTTTAGCACAACACAACATTAATCTAGTCTCGCCCCACTGCGTGAGTCTCCTCGGGCGCGTCTACCCGTATGATGGATGACGCGAGGGCGAAGTATCCCTCGTAGTGCACGTCGTCGGGCGTGGTGTCGTAGTGGTAGTGGCCACCGTCGCCGTGCTCACTGAACCCGTGGAAGTGCTGCACGCGGAGGTCTAGTCCCTGGACAGAATCGATATACAAACATGAGCTGCCGTCTGACGCAATAAAGCAAAAAACAATCGACTGAACGGTTGACGCAATGACAGCAGACAACCAGCGGATGTACAATGTGGCGCGCGGGTGTGATTCCCGTGAGGAACAATTTTTTAGTGGTAGTAATCCTTACTATCCTTACCAATATTATAAATCAGAAAGTGAGTTTGTTTGTTTGTTTGTTCCGCTTTCACACCATAACTACTAAACCGATTGCTTTGAAATTTTGCAGACGTAAAGTTAGAAGTCCGGATTAAATAATAGGGTACTTTTGATATTCCCGAGGGAAAACAAAAGAATTGGTACCTATATGTCACTTTTTATCTTTTTGTGACGCGAGCGAAGCTGCGGGTAAAAGCTAGTTCACAATATATTGTTCCGGGTTGGGGTTGATTTGGATGTATGTATCGTATGTTTGTAAACACAACTACGATACAAGAGAAAACCATAACAACGTTTAAAAAATGTAAAAGTTAAAACAGTGGAGGTAGACTGACATGATCTCCAGTGACAAGCGTGCCGACGTGTGTGATGGGCGCGCGCATCTCGAAGAAGTGCAGCCAGTTGTCGACGTCAGCGTCCGTGCACAGCGCAGTGCCGGAGAAGTCCGGCATCACGTGGAACTTCACCTTGCCGGAGCGAAGCATGAACATGCCACCCAGACCTGACAGAGAAGATGAATGTGAAACACAGGTATCCTATTCAGGGATTGTCTAGTATTACATTAAGCATTTCTTACTCACCGACAATTTTGTCATCACCATAGTGGTTTTTGAGCGTCTCCCTGATGGCAGTAATGAAGTTTGATGGCCCGATACGTTTCTTTGCGACTACTTTTATTACCTGAAATATGAATATAAAAAAGTGTGTTAAATCAATTTATTACAACGAAATGCGAACAAATGTTTTACTAAGAGAAGGCACACCTTGCCTGGCTTTCCTTCACTGAATAAATAGTTCCCCAGCAGCGCTGTCCTGGTCTCCGTGTTAGGTAGCCGCCGCTGTAAGTAGCCGCCTTTGCCCTTGGCCGCCCCCACTGGTTCTATAGACACTATTCGAGTGCCTTGCTCTACTGAACCGTTGCGGATGCTCAAATTTATTATACCCTAGAAAAACATTTAACATAATTAAAAAGTGTAGCAAATCCCAATCGACGGTGGTTGTAGTCGTGCTTGCAAGAAAAGGAGGAGATTCTTCAGACCTCGCAGTTGACTCCGATGTGCGGCCAGGGCCCTGCGCCTGCGCCGGCCAGCAGCGCGGGGTCGCTGTTGAAGTGGCGCGCGAGTGCCGCCAGGTCATACACCTTGTCTCGCTGCACTAGTGGCAACAAGTACGGCGGACCGCCGATCTCCACGAGCTTAGCATTGCCCGTCAGACCTACAATAAGGTCCCTAGATTATATTATACTGCTTGGCTGACTAGATCACTGAAGTATAGTCAAGCAGCCTATTACTACTTTAACTTTGAGCAGAACTAAGTAGGTATCTGTAATTTCGTGTTTGATGTTTTCGTTCAAGTTTATATCTGTGCTGAAACAACTAATAAAATTCAGAAGGCAACTCATCTTATAGATAACGAATTACTGTCTCAGTTATCATGTATTTACTTGAAGATATGAGCCGAGACTTGGAACAACAATATTAATAGTTCATTATTATGTAATTATAATATTTATATAATTGTAATTGTTGCTGGCAAAGTGAGATATCGAATAATTGTTTAACATTGTTAAAATAATATCATTACCTGGTGTAATGAGGTTGTAGGGAGACTGAGTGAGGTCTGGAGTGTCAGCTACTGACACGCTGACCGTCTCGAACGTGCTGGTCAGACCCACGGAGAGCACTAGAAATGTTCCGTACTACAATATGCATATAGATAAATATGTATATGTATATCACAGGTTAATCAAAGTGCGGGTAGGTAGCAAATTGAAGAACTCACCATCCGCGATCTCCTGTAGCGGTGGCTGAAATAAAGGCTTCTCCTTGATCGGAACCTTACTGTAGTCGACGGACGACATGCTGGAACATTAATTCAATATTTCTCCTCAGCTCTATGATGTATCATTATATTAATGTAATGTAGTGTTAAACTGATTAAAGTTAAGTAAAGTTTAAGTAATGTTCGTCGATAGTTACTCGAATTACTTCAACTGATTATTCAATTAAATTTAATTTAAAATTGATACTTTGCGGAATGGGCACTGAATTACGTTAAATCCGTCAACCAGTTACAGGTATGCTAGGTACCTACTCGTACATAATTCAATCAAACAATAAGAAGAAATAGCAGCTGTAATTCATCCAATAACTACTCATAAATACTTCTTTTAAGTACCATACCTACATTTGTAATTTGCAGACATTATTTTGAAGTCGCTTTTATTAACAATGTACAATTGTTTCGAGAAGTCAGTAGTAGTAACAGTAGTAAGAATGTGACAGTCTATTAACGAGGCTTTGGTTTTCACTCACCTCGGCGCGTTCAAGGTCGCTGCGTTCACCGCCACAACAAACACGCACGTCAACAATGTGTGCGACTGCATGGCGCGTGCTAACCTAACTACTATAGGAATGTTACTAATATACATTTTGGTACGTACGTTGGGGTATAGTGTGGAGGACGAACTGCCGATTTATTGATGACCTGTAGTGACCTCGGTGCGTGGCGCGTAGCGGCGGCGGCGTGCGTCGGGCGCGGAGTGCCTGCGCGAGAGTGGCGCTGAGATTGCGCGCTATCTACCGAGTGCGCTTTATCATTGTTTGAGAGCTTCCAGTTTAATTAGCGGATCAAGGCCATCAAACATCTTATTGTAGTGATAAGCAAACTGTTGTGATTAAATAGTTACTCATTAGAAAACTAGTCACAGTACTAAATTACTTAAGTACTTCCTTGACACGTTTGACAAGTGGAGCTGTATTCGTACCTACTATATTAATTCATTAAAGTAATAACAGGGAAATATAAATAAAATTAGTCACTCGCCTTGAGCAGAATTGCAAACACCTTCAGCACCGTTATTTATGAAATATCAACTTTACAACACCTTTTTATATTGTAACACAATCTTACATATTCGAGAATAAATGAAACACAAAATATACAAAGTTTTCAAGATATTTATTCTGATGAAACCAAACCACAACAGATGTTATTTAATAAATTAGTTGAAACTTATTTCACTGTCATACATTAATTATTAATTAATAAATAATTACGAACAGACACCTCGTCCACTTACAGTTAGCCGTACTTTGGTAATGTTGTGTTAACTAAACCAGTAATTCTAATTAAATAACCTCCGCTATTCACTCCGCTAAACAATGTACACAGATGACTTTCTAGTAAAAAAAAGAAATTATTAAGCATGAAAATAAAGCTATTGTAGTCGTTCTTTTAACAAAATAAAGATACGCACTTTCGCCCATTAGAAGGCCGTTACAACCTAACTTACAATGTGCTTCAACTGCCTACTAATCATAAAATATGAAAAAATATCTGCTGCGGTTAAATTATACTGAGCAGTAACTGACAGGCAGTCATTATATACTTAAAATGACATCACGCAATACACAAACACAAGATAACATAAAAAAGCATACTTGTCACTTCTACCCTCAGATAAAACCAATTCATATATTTTTTTTTTCAAATAACTTAATTGCCGTTGCCAACATATTTTTTATCGTATATTCTTTTCTCTATTAGTCATTCTCACTTCCTGTGCGACATCTATCCGCTGCCTCGTTTGCAACAATTTCAATTTATTATGTTCATACAACCGCCAATTTCAATTGATTTAAAAAAAACCTCCATTTATCTTTTATTTTTGGCATGATTATATCCATGTGATTGGATCCTAACATTACAAAGTGAATACTTGTAATGTTACAAATTACAAAGTAATACCTTCCCTTTCACGACATCTATGGGACCGGCCATTTCACAAAGAAATTAGCAACATCTGACATAGGACATACAACGTAATACGTGACGTGCAACACGCTGACATTACATTGCTGTGTTTCTGCTAGTTATTGGGATCTACACGTGAAGGAACTTGCAATGGAATGTATACAAATAGAAAGTGTTGTCCACTTCCGAGGACTGGCGAACTATGCCGACTTGTCATAGGTTTATATCACAGCCTAAGATAATTTTGCTCAATCGACCTTCATATCTTCACTTCGTACACAAAATATATCAATCTGAAGTAACACGAAATTATATTAGGAAAATATCTTTAACGTGTTTTGCCTCGACAGTCAACAACAACAAACCACTCAACGGAAAATTGATATTGATAAGTATCCGTTGTCAGCGTACTTTCAAAATATTATCTATATCGCAATCACAAGTAGACGCAACCAATGCTGGATCTCTCGTACTGCAGAAACACGTTAAAACTACCATCTCATACTATATACTACAACAAAGTATCCTCACCAGCCATACACATCGATACAAGTATCACATTGGAACATTAATTTATAGCTTGCCACGAAATGGTCAGTATCACGACTAGTGCCTACATCACTCAGGTGGAATAAATCTTATTCACGACTGGAATAAGTTCGACCAGTTTAAAAGGAAAAACAATCCAAGACATTTCCGTACACATATGTACGATATCGCAGCAGATATTATTGTTAGGTTCACGTGCATCGTTTTATCCTAAGAATAACTGCTAATTAACATTTAAGTAAAACTTATTCCATCTGAATGAAATTGGGCTTCAATCGCATTTAGTACTACACAAGAATATATGAATATCATTCATCAAAATTAATTATGTCAATTGCCGTACACATGAACATTGAACACATGTTATGTCACATACATATTGACTCGATTAGTGATTAGAGAATGAGATAAATACACACTAGGATAAGTTAATCAGTTCGACATTGTATTTAATATAACTACAAATATATTGTGTCAAATAATGTCGCCAACACCTTCGTAAACATTATTACTATAAGCTACTACCTATATACACAATTAACGCTTATATTGCGGTGACATCTTGAATACTCACCGATGTGAACTTTTATCTTGCAGCATCAGTTGCACAGAGTAAATGGTTCATATTTTCTGGTAAATGAATGTATAAGTAAAAAACTTCATAGTATACAAAAGTTGTCATCGATATAGTACATACTTAGGTACACTATTTATGACTCAAGAACCGTTAAATCGGTTTGGCTGAATATTGACAGGGAGGTGGCTTAGAACCAGGACACGAACATAGGATACTTTTTTTCCGAGGCTTCCCGAAAATCCTACGGGAACGGGAAAAACTGGGATTGCGCGTACGAAGTCGCGGTTACAAGCTAGTATTCTTATAAAACATGTTGCAAAATGATTGTATTTATTGTTCGGGTAAAATAATAAGTATGCACATGATTGCTCGGGCAATATCTAAAGTGAATACTTGCACAGTCCTTACTTTCGGTCGCCGTGATGTTATTGATACAGACAGCAGTAAGTATACAAGATGTAGACGCCACTCGGTTTGATGAAGTCAACTAGTTTGAAACATGCATGTGATGAGTAAGTGTACACATAATATCACAACTACATTCATAGTTGTACGAGAGTATCATAAGTTAATATTATTCTAATGTTATTCAAGTTAGGTCGCAGTGTCTTTTACAATAATACTTCTGAATACTTATTGATGTAATTTATAACATTGTCATATTTCAATATTGGTAGTCTGAGAGGCCGTATTACTCGACCGTTTCACAAGTTGTCCTAGTGTTTCGTGTTCAGTCAGATCAGTCATTTACGAAAGTCAGACTCCAGCTACGTTTCTTTATGTCGTAAACGTAGAAGGAATTCGTATTCCTAGTCTAACATTGTTGTCATCGATTAAGTCATCACTGAGATGAACCAAAGCAATTGACGGGTTTCGATGAGAAAGGTGTCGAGCGCGTACAGTCGGCGAAGTATGCGGGCGGCTAGAGGTCTGCGGGCAGCAGCGTGTGCAGGTGCTCGTGGTAGAGCTGGCGCGCGTAGGCGGCGTGGCGCGACACCCACGCGGCCAGCTCGCGGCTGTCGCACTGCACGCGCGGCCGCCGCACCGCGTCCGCGCCGCCGCCGCGCACGCCCAGCTCCACGAAGTAGGCGCCGTCGGCCGCCAGCACGCAGCACGACACCAGGTTGCTGAGGTGCGTCTCCATGACCACCTGCGGCGCCGCGTGCTTGCACGTGATGATGCGCACGAAGCGGTCCGACAGCAGCGCGCGGATGTCGTGCGGCGTGTCGCGCACGGCGCGGTACGCCAGGAAGTGCTCCGAGTAGTCCGTGTGGTTCAGCGCGTACAGCAGCGCCGCGCCCGCCGCCTGCGCGCCGCAGTAGCGCGGCAGCAGGCCCCCGCAGCCCGCCACGCAGCGCGGCCCGCGGACCCGCGCCGGGACCCACTTGTCCGACCTGCGACCCACACGTATACCTCTACCGTGTCTGCACACCCGCCGTTATACATGCAGATCCAAACTAAATAATATAATAATTATGTCACCTGCGGCTAGTATCCCGAAGCGCGGACGCAGTCTCGGCGGCGAGGTCGAGCACGCCAATAACTGGCTTGGTGACGGTGCCCACCAAGCCCTTGCCCACGCCCGCCAGGAACCCGCCCAGCCCCTCCTGCGTCGCGCCCTCGTAGCTGTGCTTCACCAGCGACGTCATGCCCCCTGCAGCACCACGACAATATTACAACAATATTCAACCCGAGAGCCGCTATACATAGAACAGGTCGTCGCGTGCAGCACCGAGTATGCCGAGGCCGAGCCCCCGGAAGCCGGCGGCCAGGTGTCCTGCGGGCGCGGCGGACCGGATGCGGCGCCGGGTCTCCTCGTGCGCCTCGTCGCTCACCACGCGCTCCAGGCCGTCGCCCAGCGACTCTGCGGACGGGCAACGCTCAGTCACTGTCGTCGGAGACAACAACACACATTTTATGCTTTAATAGTAATTATGCATATGGTAAGTACCTGTAACTTTGGCAGCTGAGTTGGATATTCCATGGGTGACGTTTTTGAGTAAAGCGCCTACGTTACCCTCTAAGAGTAGACCTGTGACGCCCTCCGACACATCCGCCACGAAGCCTAGAGGATTTCCCAGGAAATCCACAGAGCCGAGTATTTTAGCCGCTTGCCACTTCAACTCCTGGGAACATTAGTGGATGCTAAGTTACAACAGTATCAAGAATAACACCCTGTGTATTGAATTGACGAAGGTACCCGAGCAGCACTTACATCCTTGAAGTGCGCCAACATCTGCCTGCCGAGGTAGGAGGCGGTGTCGAAGACATGCGCGCGCACGAAGGGCTCCAGCTCCACGGCCGCGTCCTCGAACTTGATGAACGTCAGCCCCAGCCGCCGCTTCAGCGCGCTCAGCGAGCCCTCCAGCTTGTTGGCCGTGCACATCGACAGACGGACCTACGCACACGGCACCGCTCTCACTACTGCCCTCTTAACCTAGTTATGACGCAGCCACGCACAATGATATTTGTGTAAATGTTAATAAAGTAGATGTGTAGATCAGTCTGTGGAAACACTAGCAATGTATCTTATAAATTTACTTTTATGTAGTTCTAGTCGGTATACAACGGCCGGGGAAATAACGCTGGCAGTACAACACGTAGCAATATCGAATATAATCAACGTCAAATCTGACCTTTTTGGATGCCAAACGCTGCGCATAATGAAAATAAAACAATGTATTCAGTAACAATCCATGAGTCTTTCAAACACAACAATTGTTGTTTACTGTTTGGACTGAGACGAGATTAATATTTTATTGTTTATATATTTATAATGTATTTTAAGAATAGAAGTATCTGATGTTGATGGGCACGTGGCGTGTCAGTATGTCAGTGTGGCAATGTGTCAGTGTGGCAGTGTGGTATGTAAGGTGTGTGGGCTGTGACCTGGCTGGGGATGGTCTTGATGAGCGCGAAGTAGTATCGCGTGGTGTGGCAGTTTGTCAGTGTGGCAATTTGTCAGTGTGGCAATTTGTCAGTGTGGCAATGTGTCAGTGTGGCAGTGTGGTATGTAAGGTGTGTGGGCTGTGACCTGGCTGGGGATGATCTTGATGAGCGCGAAGTAGTATCGCGTGGTGTGTAGCGCGGTGAGGTCGGACAGTACGCGTCGCGTCTCGTAGTCTGCCTCGTCGGCCTGCTCGCGCGCGCTCTCCTCCTGCTCCAGGCGCGCCCACGCCCACAGCTGCAGCACCAGTCTGGGGGACACAGGTTACGTGTTCGTATGACGAATTTTAAATACTTGAACAATATTGTAATTTCCAAAAGTAAATACATACTATTCAGTATAATATAAATATTGTTTTACCTTTCTTCTAATCGTATGGCCAGTGGTCGCAGTGCTACGACGAGATGTTTAAAGAAGTACGCGTTGTACCGCTTGGTGGGCGCGCGCTGCAGCTCCACGGCGGCGTGTAGCGCCGGCAGCGCCCCGCCCCCGGCCCCGCCCCCCGCCCCGCCCCGCTCCGGCAGGCAGTACAGCAGCACGGGGCTCGGCGTGCCCAGCAACTGCCACACATATCGCGTACAGGCAAGCGGTCGAGCGATAGAGGACAACAGTCCATGACACAAAACAATAGGTGGAAGTCGATGCGAAATATACAAAGAGCACATATTTTTTATAGCATGCAAACCTGGTTGTCCCACTGCATGTGCGACACGGCGAGCGCCAGCGCCAGGCTGCGCGGCTGCAGCGCCAGCTCCAGCAGCACGGCGTCGAACAGCGCGTGCACCAGCTCGGCGGGCGGCGCGCGCGACACCAGCGACACCGACAGCCCCGCCAGCGACACGCGCACGCCCCACTCCCCCCAGCCGCGCCGCCGCGCGCCCGCGCCCGCGCCCGCCTCGTCCTCGTCCGCCGCGCCCTCCAGCCAGCCCGCCTCCTGCACACACGGCACTGAGTGCGGGCCCGCGGCCGCGGCGTGCGCGCGCGCAGTACGTACAGGCTCCTTGTGGTCGTGGATCTGGACGACCCGCGTGGGTCCATCGGCGCACAGCGTGACGTCCAGGCGGCCGGAGCCGGGCCGCAGCGTGTGCCACGACACTGCTTGCTCCGCCGGGACCGGCGACGTCGGAGACCAGCCCGCGCGCCCCGACGCCGGTAGCCCCAGGACGACTCGAGTACCTTGTTACACAAATACAAATTGAGGTTAATTTCTTCAGAGGGTAGCACTTTCTTTTCTATTTTGCCATCGATTCGGAAGGCTGTGAAGCTCTTCCAACATTGGATTTTTTATTTTATTTATTTATTTATAGAAATACAAATGAAACCTTTCAATGATTTTGGATCATTAATTAAAGTAATAATAAAGCAGAATGCAAGTAGCACGCACCGGGTGTGAGCGCCATGAGGGAGAGTCCGTCGGGCTGCACGCACAGGTTGGCGTGCGCGCAGGCCATGCGGCCGGGCGCAGCAGGCGCCACGCCTGCGTGGAGGCGCGCCGGGGGTCCGCGCGCCGCAGCACCAGCGCCGACGCCCGGCCCGGCCGCGGCGCCGCGTCCTCGATGTCCAGCACCTGCACAGACGCACGCTGCAGTGGGGCCGGGGCGGCGCGGGCTGCGCGGGCGGCGCGGGCTGCGCGGGGCTGCGCGGGCTGCGCGCGGTACTCACCATGGCGTGCGGCGACAGCGGCGCCTCGTCCGACAGCAGGGCGTCCGTGGGCTGCGGCGGGGAGCTGCCCTCGTGGATCAGCTGCTCGTTGGGGCCTCGCCGCCATAACTGACTTCTGCGATACATCATTCATCATTTTCATACTTAAGTAAAAAGGTGTAAACACTAGCCGTGGTGTAAACACTCAATGTTTGTCATAACACTGAGTGTTATCAGTACACATCGGATTATATGCACTATCAAAATGCCAAAATATTCACAATAAAAACTATTTTTAATTATAATTAGAAGTTACTAGCGGACCCCGCAAACTTTACAATTGTTTTCTTACATAAGAACTTTCGGTACAAAAACGGTTGAGCTGTTCTCGAGATTTGCGCTTAACAACACATTTAGCGATTCATTTTTATACCGAAGATAGATGCTGTAGGAAACCATAAATGACATGTCTCCTTTAATATAATGATTGTGACAGTAAACAATAATTACTAAGAGTGGGAGAGATATGCTTCGGCACGAATGAGTCAGCTGGACTGGAGTGATACCACGGCCTCACGGAACACCGCCGTGAAACAACGCTTGCGTTGTGTTTTGTCGTGTGACTGAGGTTACCGGAGGCCCAATTACTTCCCCATCCCCTCCCCAGTCTCTCCAATCCAGAAAGCCCGCCAGGCACGATCACCTCGTTTGGTCGGAGGATCCTCCTTTTCCGATCTTAGGGAACTATACTCTCTGTTCCCTAAAGAATAAAAAGGACAGAGCAACGATCCCTGAGGCACTCCGCTGGGCACATTTACCCAGTTAGAAATGTAGTTATTGAGTAACACTGCTTGTGACCTACTTATTTATTTATTTCTTCTTCACAAAACACAACAGTGAATGGCGGACTTAATGCCTTAAGGCATTCTCTTACAGTCAACCACAGGGAAGTGCAGAGAAATGAAGTGGTTTATGCGAAGCCAGAACACAATTAAAAAAAAAAATTGTTATGTAATTTAATATGTATACTACACACATAAATACCTATAGAATAAATATATTAAAAAAATATTTTATTAATCTGTAATCCGGTCAAATGCCTTCCTGTAATCTGTGTAAACCACATCAACCAGCTTGCCTTTATCTATAGCAACCTGCCGTCGTGAACGGCGTAATACAAACGTATAACTACTGAAATAAACACTGTTAATGAAAATGTACCAAAATGTACATAATTTATAAACATAGAAACATAATAAGCATTTACATACGCAAAGATGCAAATGCATATAATCCGATGTGTAATTATCAGTGTCCATACCTGTCCCCGTACCGCTTCCTGGCCAGCACGACGCGCGTGGTCCCCAGCGGCACCTCCAGCACCAGCACGCTGTCGTCCACCGCCTGCTGGCCGCCCTCGCCGCTGTAACCGACAGCTGTAGCGGTCTGTGCGCGGCCCGCCTGCTGCACGGCCGCGCCATACGTACGTGTGCTGCGTGGCGCTGAAGGCCACGTAGATGAAGTTCTGGTACAGCAGCTGGTGCTGCGCCGGCAGCGTGTCCAGCGCCAGCTGCGTGCGCGGCCCGCCCGGCGCCCGCAGCGCCAGCGCCCGCGCCGCCTCCGGCTCCGGCAGCGCCCAGCGCGCGCGCCCGTGCGCGCCCACCACGCACTCCTCGCCGCACCCCACCTGCACACGCACTGCTCGTACTGCTGCCCGGGCCAGCACGGGCCAGCACTACGCTGTCCGCACGGACGCACCTGGTGGAACATGATGGACACGGGGGAGTAGTTGTCGATGCGCAGCGGGGGCGGCGCGCACTCGGCGTCCGTCAGCACCACGAACATGGTGGCGCCCTGCGCCACCACCTCCACGCGCACGAATTGGTATCCACCACCCGGCTCCCTGCCACGACCAATACATTCTCGATAAATTCATCGAATGCGTTGAATACTTTGACACAATATACAATAGTAAATAGCGGGCGTACCTGCAGGCGACGTGCAGCGTCCTGGGGGCGTCGACCCGGAAGCCGCCCGACCACTGCGTGCGCGGCGCGGCGGGCGGCGCCGGCGCCAGCACGCGCACGCACAGCCAGTGCTCGCGGTCCCAGCGCGCCCAGTGCCACGGCAGCGAGCAGCCCGCCACGGCCGCCACGTGCGTGGCCACGGCGCCCGGGTCGTTCTGCAACAAGGCTGCGTCAGCGCGCGCCGCGGGCGGGGCGCGGGGCGCGCGCCGCGCGGACACTCACCAGCGTGGTGGCGCAGCACTTCTGCGCGAACTGCAGGTGGTGCGAGGTGTTGTTGTGCAGCTGGTAGCGCGGGCTGAACGTGGCGATGTTGGTGTGGCGGTAGCGGCCCCGCCCCGCGCGCACGCGCACGCCCACCGCGAACACGCGCTCGCCCGCCCCGCCCTCGCCCTCGCCGCGCACCTCCAACTTCTTGACCGCCACGCCCACGCCCAGCCCGAATGGAGAGCACCACTGAGGAACGCCATATTATTAGGAATTACTTAGGCATTTTAAGCCTAAAATTTATAAAGCTAGTTCATAAATAAACAAATGACTACGCCATAACGTCAAATGAATTGAATGCCAAAAGTAATAGGGAAGTGTGATACCGTACTAACCTCTGGCGTGCCGGGCAGGCCTCGTCCGATCCTGGCGGAGATGGTGGGGCCGCCGTCGGCCTCCGCGAAGGAGAACAGCAGCGGCTGCACCATGCGCGCCAGCTCGTGCTCGTCGAACTGGCCCGCCGCCTCCGTGGCCGCGCCCTCCGCGCGCACCACCAGCGGCAGCCCCGTGTGGTTCACCAGCCAGTACGGCGCCGACAGCGACACCTGCGCAGCCCCGCGTCACCACCACTCTCGTACCACACACCGTCCGTTGCTGTACGTACCTTGATGCCGTCAGTTTTCTTGACGGTGACCCTGGCGTTGAGGTACAGCCTCCTGGCGCGCGAGTCCCGCAGCTTGAGGCGCGCAGTGAAGGAGCCGCCCCCGCCGCCGCCCACCGCGGCGCCGGACCCCGCCCCGCCGGCCCCGCCCGCCCCGCACACTACCAGCGCTGTCGACCAGCCGAAGCCCTCCAGTTTCACGCTCAACTCAACTCCTTCTTCTACGTTAACCTGTGCAGATACAGATACCGCGTTTTTACATGTTTGTGTTAATTTACTTAAATATAACACCTTTACACTCAGTGTATTCACGTGAGTAACCCGCGATTTTTGTTACCCTTCACTCAGTTATATCTTTAGTACCATAGAGCATATACTATCATCTGTGACGCAGTTGTATCTCTTTCCATGTCGGCACACTTCAAACACTGTTTCATTGAAGGTAAAGCTCGCGACTGAGACACCATGTGGTTGCCACAACGTTCAACTGATACTTATGTCGGATAATATTTGACATGTTTATTGTCATACCTCGTGGAAAGGCATGGTATCTCCTGGAGGTATGTTGCCGGATGCGTTGACAGTGGTCGTGCCCGGCACAGCTGGACATGCTCGGTATTGCAGCTCCAGCGGCAGCAGGTTCTCCAGTCTCAGCGCTGGTACTAAGGTCAACGTGTGCCCCGCAATGGGCGTGCCTCTGTCTGGGGGGAATCGCTCGCGGACTATTACGCAACAGAATCTATAACAATGAAAAGCAATATTATTGAAAGCGTTCTGAGAACAAATGTAGGTTGGTAGTTAAGCAAGTTGTGGTGGTCTGACCTGTACACGTGGTCTGGCGGGGCGCGGCACTCGTAGTGCAGCAGGGCGCGGTCGCCGGGGGCGTTGCGCCAGTCGATGGGCGCGGGCGAGGGCGCAGGGGGCGCGGCCTGCGCGCGCAGCAGTGGGCGCGTCCACAGCGCGGCGGGCTGCGCCGACAGCGGCGCCGCCCACGTCGCGCCCGCGCCCACCTGCGCCGTGCGCACGCTGCCGCCGCTCCACGCAGCTGCATGGCGACCAACATTGTCAGCGACACAAATCATGCCAATATAAATTAGTATTCAGAAAACTTTCTACAACGTTAAACCACATTAAAATAAATAATGCTAATGCATGTATTTTACTGTATAATAACTAATTTACGTATACTTACACTAATTACAATAATTATTCCATATAATTTTGTTACTTTTATAACTATAAGTAATGTCGTGCAAGATGGAGTACATCGTGAGTGCGAGGCGTACAGTACAGGGTAGAGCGAGTGTGCAGCGTGGACAGTACCGCAGTTGACAAATATAGGGTGCAGCGGGCGCGGCGGGCGACGCGCGGGCCGGCGCGGCGCGGGCAGGCGCGGCGCGGCCAGGCGGGCGCACGCGCCGCGCAGCGCCGCCAGCGCGCGCGCCATCGCCGCCGCGCGCTCTGCGCACGCCACCACGTCACCGCGGTCCTTGTCGAGTGCGACCCACTACTACGGGGACCTACTTCTTAGAGTATCGCTTCAACATCAAACTGCGCGGGAGTCTCACCTGCGGAGGGCGCGTGGTCCACCCGGACCTCCACGGGGTGCGGCAGCTTGTTGACGAGCTGCAGTGCCGACCGCACCGTCACTAACTTCCGAGCTGACCCCTCCAGAGATACTTCAAATACTATGCGAGCCTCGGCACCAGACTTCTGTAATGAGTACGACCATAATAAAATATTCGGCCTTCAACATGAATGGATGTAAGGACACACAAATGACATACCGTGTGCGTCAGGTTTCTGAAGAAGACGCCGACTCTGTCGACACAGACTGGGTCTGGCGGTGACCAGCCGTCGAGGCGCAGCGCGAGCTGGTTGAGCGCGGCGTTCTGGCCGGGCGCGGCGCCGCCGGCCCGGCCCCGGCGCCGGCCGCGCCGCTGTCCGAACGAGAACGGTTCCGTGTCGCCGGCGCGCACCATCATCCACGAGTCGTCCGGCCCGGACCAACTGGTCTGCTCTCGCAACCTGCACATGGTACGAACCGTCGTGGCTTGTTATAGCACGCGCGAAATACAAGGAGCAGTTCGTATATTGCAGGACCGAGCTAGTACTCACTCATCGGAAGTGGTGACGAGCGTGGTGAACAAGAGTCGGTGTCCGGTGTGGTTGCGGAGCGCGTAGGGCACGAAGGGCGAGCGCCGCCGGTGGCCGGACGGACTGCCCTTGGGAGACTGCTCCTGTGTTGCGGATGACTACGTAAACAAAACACACCCTTCAATACGTAAATAGCGCTCGGGACTGATGAGGAGCCATGCTCGCGTACCTTGCCACTGCTGGGCATCCCGCCCGGGTTTAATATGAACATTACTGGCATGAGTACCTGCGGCGCGTAATAGTCAGCGGTCCAGTTGGCGCGCACCAGCTCGGCCAGCTCGATGAGTGAGGAAGTGATGTTAGTGTTCAGCACCTCGGTGGACGCCACCTCCATCTGCACCCGCCCCAGCGACAGCTCGCTCGTTAGAGTGTACTCCCACGATGTCTCGAATCTGAACAATAGGATGTTTATAATTTTGCAACAAAAAGCACGTCGCGAGATCATTAGCGAACAAACGGGCAAACCTCCATGGTTCCACGACGGGCTCCCAGCCGGACAGCGTGCGGTTGTAGTAGTCCACGGTGAGCAGCGCCCCCAGCCGGCCCCCTCCGGCGCCCGAGCCCCGCGGGCCCCCTCCGGCGCCCGAGCCCCGCGGGCCCCCGCCGGTGGCCGCCCCCCGCCCCACTAGAGCGCCGCCCGGGCCCGCGGGAGTCGACACCAACATCGGGTCCTCGAACGACTCCTCTATTTTTCGCAAATCCTGAATCCATGTTAGAATATTTTAGTAAAAAAAACATAGGTGGTAGACTACAGACACAAGTCAGTGATGTTATTCAGGGCATAGTGTATGTATACCTGCTCCACCTGCAACTCGGTGAGCGAGATCTCGAGTAGAGGCACGTCGGAGTCCAGGCAGTCGTCGATCACGCACAGCGTGATGCAGTCTGCCGACACCTGTAGCGTGGTACAGTATAATGTTATATACTAACAATCAAGCAAATATATTGGAAGACGATATTATAAAAAGAGAGTTGATAGAACGTGGTAAGGAAGAAGTTGACAGGCTGCGAAAACCCCAAATAACTTGGGACCAAATCAAAAAGTGTTCTGACAACATGTGAGTAGTAGCAGTAAGACGAATAGAGACAGTAATAAGAGACAAGTATGCAACCTGCACAGCTTTGAGCGGCCATATAGAGGTGGCGGGCTTGGGCTGCGGCGGGGCGCGGGCGGGGGCGGGGCGCGCAGCCAGCGCGGCCGGTACATCCAGCCGCCCGCGCCGCCCGCGCCGCCCGCGCCGCCCGCGCCGGGGGAGCGCTCGCCGGCACGCATGTGCACGATGTTGGCTGGCTCGTCGGCGTCTTCCTCGGATACCAACAGTTTGCCTGTAACATAATAATACACGTGAACGTACGCACTAGTAAAAATAATGCTTGTTTTAAACAATTCCAAATTAGTATTTCTACTTCGAACGGGCTAAATGATGAGTACCAAGTATCGAATTATCGATGTGTATGGTCGGCACTCGGCACTTACCAGACAGCGCAGCCCTGGCCTGCACCGGCAGAGACTGCAGCATGGCCGCGAACATCCGCATGTCGTGGTACGACAGCCGCAGGTTCAGTGTGCTCATTGCCACCTGGAACATGACACGCGTCACAATACGGGCGAGGGGAGGGGGCTCCAGGCTGCAGGGTAGCGGGCAGTACGTACGTGTAGCACGCGCTGAGCGTCGATGGCGACGTGCACGGCGGCGGGGTCGACGATGGACAGCGCGGTCTCCTCCTCCAGCCCCAGCACGCACGAGAACACCTCCAGCTCGTTCAGCTCGCACGACACCGGCTTCTGCGCGTCCGCGCACCGGTACGTGATCACTGTCGTACTCTGCAACAAACACTGGGCTCTAGCAACACTCGTTGTGCCTCTGTTCCCTGTACTCATCCGTCCACCTACCACATTCTCCGTGCTTCTTATGTCGCCTATGTACTTACCCTAAGTATGACCGCGTTAGTGTCCCACACGGACGGGTCTTCCACCAGCACCAGTTGAGAGTCCGTCACATTAAGCTTCAGCTCCATGAGTGGTTCTTCCGGCGCCTGCGCAGGATGTGGACTGGCAGCATTGCGAATTGCACAGAGCGCTTCCTCACTGTCATCAAACAGAATGATTCATAAATAAACCTTCTATAACCGTGGACTCTTCAATGAAACATATTGTATCACAAGTAATGTGAGTACTAACAGGTGAGCCTGGTCGGGGTCGGCGGCAGGTGGCGGAGGCTGCATGATGAATTGGTTGGCGCACTCCCACCAGTCCAGCACTGCCATCAGGCGCATGTTGTTCACCAGGATCGTGTAGGCGGAGGAGTCACGCCGCTTCCTGGGGACGAGGGACACGACACGTCCGTGAGTCTCAGCAGGCGAGGTCGAGGGGAGCGGGGAGTGGGGGCAGGGGGTGGGGAGTGTAGTACTGCACCTGGCGTGCACCTCGGCCTGCACGCTGTGCCTCTGCTCCGCCATGGGCTGCACGATGTGGCTGAACACGTTGCCGCGCCGGTTGGCTGGCTCCTTCGCGAACCGAGTGTCGCTCACTAGGATCTCCTGCACACAGTATACCCATCATGTCACATTCGTCAATTTAAGCAAGTATAATCCTTAAAGTTTGAAATGAACCTGTGAAACGAGGTCTATGTCTTGGCTGAGGTCTGAGTATGTTTCCACGACAAGTCTGGACTTGATGAAGTTGATACAAGCCAGGGAAGACACCCCGTGCTCCGGTTCCAGCTTCACCGTCACGTCGTGTAAGTCCAATTTCAAAGAGCTGGTGGTCCACACCTGACAGTACAGAAAGGAAGGCATTAGGTACCAACAAACGTCGTACTCTGAGGGCAAGATATTAGTGAGTAGGTTGTATGTATGAGTCTCACGTCGTGCTGCGGCTGGGGCTGGTGGTGCGGCAGGTCCCGCGGCAGCAGGTCGTCCACGCACTCCGCCAGGTTGTGGGCCAGCACGCCGCGCACCAGGCGGTACTGCGCCGGGTCCAGCGCCAGCTGCAGCGTGCTCAACGAGCCCTGCACCGACATGTCCGCCACTGCAGGGCGGGCGTTAGTACACGGCGGGCATAAGCGGACACTAGACTCAGAGCTCGGCGTACCGGAGTGCGCGGCGTCCATGTTGTACTCCAGGTGCAGGCGCAGGTCGGCGGGCGCGTGCAGCAGCGGCGCGCCGCGCCGGCGCACGCGCAGCCCGCGCCCGCCGCGCGCGCACCACAGCGCCACGCCCGCCAGGCGCACGCTGCGCACGTCCAGCAGGGCGCGCCGGCCCTCGCCCGGCGCGCTCAGCGTGCCGTCGTCGCCCGCGTACTTGAAGCAGTTGTCCAGCGTGAGCTGCTCCAGGTGCGCCGCCAGAGCGTTGCGCGCGCGCCCCGACACCGGCAGCACTATGACGGGCGCCGTGCACCGCACGTTCAGCTTCATGCGAGCTGGACGGGCACCGTCTGTGCTAGATCCGCCAGATACTACTGAAACCTACAATTAAAAAATAGCCGTGGAGTTTTTATGATAAATAGACGTAAATACTTGAACTGTTGTATACAATATTACAAGTCCTCATGTTAATGGGACCTATCAAAAGAACTTTGTCCTGTTTCTAAGGTAGTTTAAAAGTACAATAATAACTGACTTTGAGTCTAGCTTGCATAATGACTTTCCGTAGCAGACTGAAGTCCCGTGCGAAGGCCTGCAGCTCTTGCACGAAGCGTTTAGTGTGCACGTACGTCACGGGACCCATCTCTATGCTGAGACTGGTCTCGTAGCCCGCGGCGGCTGCCTCGGCAGAGCTCAGTCTGTAGAGGCCAAAGAATACATTATTATACATGGTATCGAATCGTATACGAAGACAATGAATATAAGTAGGTGTTGCAGTTACCGTCGGTATTGGAAGGTGAGGGCGTGGTCAGAGTTGGTGCGGAAGCGGTCCCGCCAGAGCGCGGAGTGCGGCGTGAGGTCGGTGAGCGCCAGCGCGCCCAGGCGGCCCGCCAGGCGGCGCGTGTGCGCGCGCGCGTCGGCGCGGCACACGGCGCGCGCGCGCGACACCAGCGCGCGGCACACCTCGCCGCGCCCCGCCACCAGCACCACGCTCAGCGACCGCACCCACAGCTCCGTCTGCGAGCACGCGCCGCCCGCGCCGCCCGCCTCCGCCTCTGCAGTACAGCTACAGTTACCCCGCCGCCGCCGCCGGCCCGCGCCGCCCTGCCCCATACTTACCGGTGCTCTGTGGCTCGGGCCCGTGCTCGCCGTCCGTCGCGTCGTCGCCGGCGATGCCGAAGAAGTCCAGCACCGCCACCCAGCTGTCGATACTTACCACCAGGTTGAGGCAGTTAAAGTCCACTTTAATTAGTTTTGATATCTAGTAACATCAAACATAACATTAACTATGACATCAAACAACAGAAATGATGACAGGATACGAAAATCAATTAAAGTACATTAATGTAAGATGCTTTGTATAATGTGTGTGCGCAGCCTTATTACCAGCCTTGTGGTCGTCGCCTAACAAGAATGACGTTTGACACGAAGTGGGACAGTGACAACTGACAGCAGCCCGCGCTTTTTTCGATAGAATGCAAAACCTCGGGTAAAGGGCATTGACTAAAATTGGTGCCTTTCTTTTTTCTGGCGGCAGTCGATGATTTATGGAAAATATTATCTAGAATGTCTTTACAAATGAAATTGTCTATGGGCTCATATATGAAAATCTCAGTCTGGACTGAGTTATGAGCATTAAAAGGAGCTAGAATCAAACATTATACTTTCGTTTTTTTATTCAAATTATTCATATTTTTGTCACAATTCCTAACTTCAAATTCACGCCACTGTACGCCGGGCACAGAAACACCAAATCATACCACAATATATCCATATTGCCAGTCGCGAATTTTTTTTTCCTATTTTCTCTTAGTCGATAACTTGTGGGATGCTTCTAGAAGTTGTGTCATGAAGCTTCATGAGCGTCAGCTCTGGTACCAGTGGTGGGTTGAGTAGTTGTAGTCGTTCAAACATCTAATAAAGTATTTTTTGCCGTTGACTCCTGGTGGGAGACTCATCTACTTTATAGTTAGCATAATCTTTTGAAGAAAGCAAACCGTCGACTTTGTAAAGTGATGGAATATACATCAGATGAGCGCATAATTGGTTTTATATAATGTGATCATTCGAAATGCATCACTTTGTGACTGATTGTGTCTTTGTACAGAATCTTATGCTAGATGTAGATTAAAGTATTAACTGTAGTTAGATTAGTCACTAATCGGAAGTAGGTAAGTCGGGAGAAGTAGACAGAAAAATGATTTTTTCGTGTTTTGACGACTGTTACTACTCAATCCGCTACCGATGCCGCAGCTGACAAACATAGCATTTCATGATAGGGCTCAGTAAAGTTTTTTGCGGGTTTTTGACTGAGAGGAAATTGAGCATGAAAATCTGTCATAGGCCATAAACCGTATACAGTTAAATTGAACACGCTAGCCAATCAAACGAAATATTTTTTTTTCTTCAGTAGTGGTCAGTTAATGGTTCACTTTGTTCTGCTTCCGTGGCCTTATAACAAAAAAATAAATAAAAACAAATATATAACAAACAAAAAAAAAGTAAAAAAGTCCACAATAAGCTTTATTATATTCCTTGATATCGTCTATAAACATTTATTACAAAATATTTCTGACAAGTTAATGAAGAAATATGCGTTCTGTACGGTCACCATCAACAAAATCACAGGAATTATATAGCACTATTTTCACATATTTGACCTGATTTAACTCGGTTCGGACTGTGTTTTTGATATAAGACCCCATACATTTTTTTGTTTGTAATGTTATTCTGCATCAGTTTATCCACATCCGATCAACTGCCGCGTAAAAATGAAAAGGCACCACGCTCCATACAAATTTGGTCATTGTCATTTAATAATGTAATATTTTCTAATTGTTATAAAGATTTATAGAAAAAAGTTAAAGTGCTTGTTCAACTGATTAATGTAATACAGTGTCGATCTACTGAAATATTGGAAGTAAAAACCTTTAATTGTCGATTTTTCTGTTTTAGGTTGGTATTGGTAATGTGTACATGTTTGATCTTAATTAATTTGTGTGTTTCAATTGATGTTAACAATAAACTTTCTGTTTTAGATAAATCAAAATTGTGCGTTATTTGCTCCTGTATTATCCTACATATTACAAATCGACAATTGTCAAGTTTGATTGGATAACAGTACATCATGTCAATGTATTATCCTGCATATTACATTAATACTTGTCATTACGCTACCAGTGTATTGTCCCTACCCCTGTGTGCTACGAGTAATGTACGGACGCACCTTGTCGTATTTATCGGCAAACTGTGGATGGTGCGGGTCGCGCGTGTGTACTGACAGCCACACGAGGTTGTCTGAGGGGTCCGTGGACTCCGCGGGGTCGGCTGCATCGATGGGGTCTGCGGGGTCGGAATGGTCCGCGGGGTCGGCAGTGGGGCGCGAGACCGCGGGCGCGGCTGGGGGCGCGCCGCACTCGGGCGAGCACGGCGGCGTGGGCGCGCACTTACTCTCACGCTTGTTGCGGCGCTCCTTGCTCTACCGGCACGAAACATTATCATCGTGAATTAGTTCGCATTCTCAAGCACGTTACCTGTACCATCACGGACAGCATTACCTCTCTAGTGAGCACGTTGAGCTGGCTGGGTAGAGAGCAGGAGCACCACTTCATGTACTGCAGGGAGCTGACGCTGGACATGTCGTCCGCGTACTCCGTCACGAAGTCCGGGCACGACTTGGACACGAATACGGCCTTCGGGGGCATTTGTGGCGTGTGCGACACCATCAACATGCGGTGCTTCGAGTCCGGCTCTTTGGTCAGATCTTCCATTGTTATCGAGTGCAACGACACCTACACATTCAGAATTATTAAAACGAAGATCGTTTTATGGCAACAAAAGTATGTGAATAATAGTTATTTCAAATTGTCAAAGTTTACCTGTAGCATGTTCTCGTATGGGTGTGTTTTCTGATATTTTAGTTTAAACTCTCTGAAGGACAGCTCCACGAGGCTTCTCTCGCCCTCGCCCATGTCGGCGCGGAGCTCGACGTTGAACGTAGGCAGCTCGAAGTTCACTGCCGAGGGAAACATCGTGAGCCACGAGCGACTTGTACCAGAGGGTGGGCGAGGAACGTGAGGTACCTGTGAGGGGCGCGAGCGCGGCGGGCGGCGCGCGCGCGGGCGGCGGCGGCACGGCCAGCACGGCGGCGCGCACGGCGGGGTCCAGCTGCAGCGTGCGCACGGCGCCCTCCAGCAGCGGCCCGGGCGCGCTGGGCGGCCCTGCGCGGGCCCCGCCGTCCCCCGCGTCGGGCCCCTCGGAGCTGACCCAGCGCAGCGTCTCCAGCAGCTGCTCGTACTGCTCGCGCCGCGCCGACACGTGCAGCCCGCCCACTATCTTGCCGCGGACTTCGCACTGCAATGTTCTTCATTGTAAATACGTACATGGTGCTTTACCATACTTTATGTTGCAATAACATAACTTTACTCCATGTTTCACAGACAATCTTCGTGATGTTTGATTAGCGTTGTTACAAGTACTAATGTAATGTTCACAGCTGGCACTTGAGAACTGGCATACATTGGTGTGTGGCATCGACACGGCTTCGTATTATAATTATACAACGTACAAGTAATAACATAACGAGGGAGTACAATGCAAAGTATTAAACCACCAGGTAAGCATTTATTCGTGTAATAGAAGTAATACCTGGTAGTCAGCGTCGCAGCCGGCGTCAGCGTCGCAGTAGTTGATGGTGAGGCGCAGCGCCGTGTTGTGCAGTACGGGCTTGCCGGCGGCCGCGTCGTACGCCGCGTCGTACGCCGCGGGCAGGCCGGCCGCGGGCAGCTGGCCCACGTCCACGGACGCCAGCGAGATGTCGCGCACGCGCACCTTGTACAGCGTGCGGCGCGGCGCGCCCGGCCGGTTGCGCAGGCTCATGCGGCCCAGGTGCGCCACGAACACCTGCGTGCTGTGCGCGTGCCGGGGCACCACCACCACCGGCGACTCCAGCTCGATGCTCACGCTGCAACACGAGCGCGACATGACCCCTGCGCCGGTGCTGGCGGGGGCGCCAGGCCGGCAGGGGCGTACCTGAGCACGATGTCGGAGTTGAGCGCGGCGGGCTCGTCCAGCGAGGGGCCGAGGCTGACGGTGCGCCGCCGCGGGGACACGCCCTCCATCGACTGCGACAGCTTCGGGTTCGCGTACAAAGACTCACCCCTACAACACAACGACAAGCTTCTTACATGTTTTTTTTAATATTTATCCAGGAAGCAAACAGTCTCTTACAAATAAATGATTACAATACAATTTGATACATACAGACACGGAATTCAGCGGTTCTCTGTTATACATTTAAAAAATTAATGGATAGTTTTTACTTGAAAATTAGGTTCTAAGTAGATACATAAATATACTTACACAGTGACCGTGATATGATTCCCTTCCTAGCGCTGAGTATGTTTCTGCTTAATTTTAGATTTCTACACATTGGAACTGGTGTAAAATATATTTAGTTCATTCAATTCATCCTTGTAAGTGCTAACACTGCGCGCAATGTTGTTACTCGTAGACTATTCTATATGAGGGTACTCAAAATAATGTTCGCAAGCGGGAACCATGGCGGGGCACTCTTAAATATATTCTATCTAATAGTGGGGGTGAGTCTTGTCAGTCACATAAGATACATGACGGTGACAGCAGTGGTAATCTAAGCATCTAATCAATTAACCAATGACATGCATACAGTGGCGGCTGGTGGGTTATTAAACTGGTGGTACATTTTACTACAATATTAAAATTAGAAAATACAACAAAACAAAAATTGACATTATAAATCAATGCGACGACATTTTTCTGAAGCGAAATGTTCAATCACCTTTTTATTAAAATCGGGTATTGTTTGTATAAATTTATTTTCAACACAACAAATTAGCGAGTCATACATACAGTGAAATTATACTGATAGTCTGATAACGATAATTTAAAAATAAATCTGACTAAAACAAATATTATGCATTTCGGACAAAGATCACAAAATTCACAAAATATAAAGCTGACATATAATAATTACACAATAAAAGAAGCTAGTACGGCTCGTTTTCTTGGCCTAACTATTGACAGTAAATTGAACTGGAAAGAACATATAAACTTACTATGTAAAAATATCAGTAGTCTCTCATACGCCTTATACCTTTATAAACTTGCTTCAACCATCCACCATAGTGCACTACTGTGTGCATACCACGGGCTTGTTGAATCTGTCCTCAGGTATGGCATTATTTTTTGGGGCAATTCCACTGACAGAGACATGGTATTTAAAATGCAAAAATGATGCATTCGTGCTATGTTCGGTATTCAAAGTACGGAAAGCTGTAAACCACTATTTATTAAGCACAGAATCCTCACGCTACCGTCACTGTATATACTCGAAACAGCTTTATTTGTTCACAATAACCTGCATTTATTTACTCATATACCCTCACATAGTCAACGCCGCGACAACAGTAGACTTTGTGTCCAGCCAACTAAAACAACGCTTTTACAGAAAAATGTAATATGCAAAGCTCCAATAATTTATAATCACATACCGAACTCGATGAAAAAATTGAACGCCAATATTTTTAAAACAACTTTTAAAAATACCCTGATTAAAAAATGTTATTATGGTTTTAATGAATTTGTGGCGACGCATGCCACATGTCAACGGATGACGTCACAAGAATCCTACATCGCACATGCAAAGTTTACAAGCGAATAAACACGGATAGAAAATCCCAACGAACAACTGTTGGGCAGAAAGCCCGCCAGGCACGATCACCTCGCCTGGTCGGAGGATCCTCCTTTTCCGATCTTAGGGGACTATACTCTCTGTTCCCTACAAATTTCTTAGTGATGAATGTGTTTGAATGATTGAATGTTAAATTGTAACACTTAACAATAATATGTAATTATTCTATTCTGTTTGTTTCTTATGACTTATTTCTATTGATTTTATTATTTCATTGTTACTGACATTGTTAGTGCATCTTGACATTTACTTATGGATTTATTGCAAAATTAATTAATATTTGTACACCAGTCATGGTTAAGCATGTTGATACAAACAATACTGTACATCTATAGTAAACATTCATTTTGCATGTATTATTATAACCTACACATGTTTTGGCAAATAAAACGATTTTTATCTTTATCTTTTTCTTAACGAGATTTCAATGATGGCTGCCGTCACCTCGCGCCCATGCCAGCCGACCAAGGGGCTTACTCTTGAATCCAATTCCGATCGACCGACATTGCTATTGTGAAATTTCGTACTCTTGAGTTATAACACTAGCGCCCATTGCATCCGTATTGCGTGGATATTGAATGAACTGAATGGTATTGAGTTTGTCTTTATATTCCGTACTCTGAATGCTATTTTAACAGCTACGATAGGGGTTGTATAGTGTTGACAGTGAATAATTATTGAGATTTTATTGGATTGAAATTGCATTGACATTGAGATTGGTTTCAAGAGTAAGCACCCAATTCGTAATAGTTTAGTAAAGCGCTCAAACCGTTTCACCATAATTAGAGATTTAATTTTTTTATACTTTTTTGTAATTTTATAAATAAATATTAAAATGGTAATATCAAAATAAATATGAAATAGGTACTTAATATTTTGTACTTTTTAAATCTTTTGAATTGGTGGTTCAGCGCACGAGTGTACTTAAGGTACAGCTGCCACTGCATGCATAATGGGGGCTGATGATATATGCAAAATGTAATAGAGAACGTACAAAACTAAAGTAACTTTAAAGTACTAGCTCGTTTAAAAGGCTTTGAAATCCTTGTAATGAAACCAAGCTGCCTGTACGACTTCTTGATCACATGATCGATACGTAGGTTAAATGAGAGTTGTGAGTCCATGAAGACACCCAAATCGCGACCGAGTAAACTCGAATAAGGAATTCACCGTTACCATGGTAGTTATAGTGTACAGGTGTGCGGTTACGATTGAAGGTGATGATGGAGCACCTATTTTAGTTTAAGTAAAGTTAATTCATAGAGCAATAACTAATTCGCAGTCCACTACGGAAATAGTCCTAAAGAATTTGGCGTTATCTGCGTATAAGAGAAAATTATATTTCTTAAGGATATTTCCAATAACATTCATTTATAGAATAAATAACAATGGCCTCAGGTGGGACTTGGGGAATGCCAGATGATGACGATAAGATAATCAAGTAGTTAAAGTACAAAATCTTTTACGTAAAAGAAAAAAATAGGTTATTTTAATAGAATTGCATGAAAAACGAGATAATACCGAGCTAACAAAGATATTTGTGGTCGATCGTGACCGAGGGAGTACCTGGGGTGCACGAGGCCGATGGCCATGTCGGCGGCGGCGGCGCGGATGGAGCGCGCCAGGTTGGCGAGGTACTGCTTGAACTCCGTGAGGCACGAGCGCAGCTCGCGCAGCAGCGGGCCGCAGTGCGTGTAGCGCACGCTGGCCACGTGCAGCGCCACGTCCGCCGCCAGCGCGCCCTCGCGCACGCCGCGCGCCACGCTGAACTGCAGCGCCTTGGGCTCGTCCGCGCCGTCCGGCCGCCCCGCCGGCCCCGCCTGCCCCGCCGCCAGCACGCGCGTGTGCAGCCCGCCGCCCTCGCACAGCGCCACCACGCCCACGCCGCCCAGCGAGCCGCCCACCTCCACGCGCCTGCCGGCTGCACACACCCGTCAGAGCCCGCGCGCCGCGCCCGCCGCCCCGCCCGCCCACAGTACGTACCCACGGTGGCCTGGATGCGCGCCTCGCTGACGGTGGCGGTGGCGATCTTGCGCGCGACGAGCGCCCCGTCGTGCAGCGCGGCGCGCAGCAGCAGCACGCCCAGGCGGTGGAAGTCGAACGTGATCTCCGTGCGCACCGCGCGCTGCGGGCAATGACCTCTGTACCTCGCCCTCGCTCTACTACTCCACACGTCTACTGCCGGACCTTACCTTGGGCTCGTCCTCCGGCACAGGATACGTGGAGCTGGCAGCGGAGGCAGGCTCCGACTGGTTGTTCTCGTTGGAAGGCTTTTTAGGCGCTGTCTTCGGACCCATCACGCGCTGAGTGAAGCCAATCAACTCGACTATGGTTTCTTGATTAGCTACACGCAATAAAAAAGCATCATATTACCATATCTCATCAATTAACAACATCACTCAACTTTGTCACAAATCGGATACTTTTCGAGCTCACCAATTATATCGAGATTGTTAAACAAAATATTTGCGATCCTTAAATCCTCTGAATCGGCGTCACCCTTGACGATGCACAAATCGACGGCGATAAGTGCTTCAGAGTCGACGAGTCCGGCCGCACCCCAGTTGGTGGCGGTGGGCCCCCAGTTGGGCTCGCTCCAGGTTCCCCAGGCTGAACCCCAGCCGGCCCCGAACATGCTGCTGCCGTTCCAGTTGAAGCCGGTGCCAGACATCCAGCTCGGCGCCGGGCTGACTCGTCCAGGGTCTGAGGACTCGGTGGGACATTGTGACTCTTCTGGAAATTGTATAATACCAAGTGTAAGGGCCTTTTTACATAATAAGTATCTTATATCTCCCATAAATATTCGGGTACATGTACCAGACCAATTAGAAGTAAAAAAAAAATTGTAACCATCTCTTTGATTGGTCAATTTGATTTTAAAGCTTTTTTTTTGGACATTTAGTTGATATTTGTGTTTTGTCCTATAAGGAATTAATTTTCCGTCTGAAAAAAAATAGTTAAATATTATTTCTATAAAACCAATTTATAAAATATTATTGCAGTAGCACCCTCTACATCAAAAAATATAATTTAATCAATTTAATCATTCCAAATTACTGTCGAGAATCGAAACTAACTTTCTTTTTTTAGTCGGTTGGAATAAGTAATACATTAAAGCGTGGGTAAGTGTTAGTTCAATAAATGAAAGCCTCCATGCTTTGTATTGTCTTTGGATAAGGTGACACACGTGTCATAAAACAAACGTCAATTGAAATATTCTAGCTACAAATTGAAATATTGTAAAGAATTAATTTTATTTCGATAATATAGGATTGTTATTTTAGTTATTTAATTTAAAGAATTTAAGTTAGGATCGACGGGCTAAAGCAGTGACAATTAATTGTCGATTCTCTATTGTTATAGGTTTGTATTCCGAGGTTGCTTAGTTTATATTTTTTTATTAAAATATTGTTATTTTCTTTCAATAAAACTCTATTGTTATAGATGAATCCTATTATTTCATTGCTGTCTCAAATCCTCATCTTATATAAATAATATAAATTATTTTTAATCTACAAGCAAGTGAGATTTTTTGTCAATTTTTTCCTTGATTTATTCTTACTTCTTGATTATGATGATGATGTGATGATAATGATGCTGATGATGATTATTTATTACCTTCAATTTATTTTTCAATATTCCTTTTTATATAAATAAAAAGGAAAGGATTTATATAAATAAAAAAAAATATCGAAAAATAAATTGGTAATACTGATAAAATATGGCGGCAATTAGTTAGGTCAAAACATATATCGAATAATATAATTTTTAATTACTTAGCTATGGATAAGTGATATGTTTTGTACTTTTTAAGTCATCTATAATTTTAGCACAATTTTGTTTTTATTTACTAATTTATTTTGTAGCGTGCCTGCACGTAGCGACGCCTAGGTGACACGATTGGTACTACTTTTACTTACTATTCCCGATACTTTTTTGACTGAATGTATAAGCAAAGGTATATACTCACGTCTGTTATAGTTTAGCGAGTTGAGTGCCTGGTGCAGCACGAGTGGGTGCGCCAGCCCGTGCGGGCCCCGGGCTCGCGCGTCCGGGGACGCCGCGCCCTGCGGGGACGTGGGGGACGTGGGGGACGTGGGGGATGTCGGCTCCGACCCGCGGATACTGCCCGACATCGTGTCCATACTGCAACACCAGATTAATGACACTCACACAAACCAAGGGAAGTCGCTCATTTTTAATGGCAGGCACTTTCGAAATAAGCCCCATTGTGCCTCTTACTGACTAAAAGCCACCTCGTTCCTGCTCCTGCACTTCGAGCCGGAGTCTCGGTAACCGTTTACGTCCTCCGCATCCGTATCAGCATCAGCCCTTTTGGCCCTCACGTGACGCACCGTACTTTCAGGTTTGGTTCTGGTCGAGCGACGAACTTTTTTTTTATTAGGACAAGCCCGCCACAACCTCCCAAAACCGCTGCAACTCCTGTAAGCCAGGATCTACAGTAGATACAACCATGAAAACACCAGAACACTGAAGTCCGACGCGTCCCAGGGACATGATTACTGTCTTGGTTCCCGCAACGAAGTGAATCACAAGATATTATAAAAAAACTATAGTTTCCACTTCCCTCGGTGAATTACTACAGGAGACATAATGAATTGAGTCTAAAGGCACAAAAAAGAAACTGTACAACTGGGTGAAGCCCAGTCGTCAAGCACCACGGAAATTTGACTAAAATCTAAGTGAATCCTATGTGTGAGCTGTTATACTTGCTTCCAATAATAGGTATGGCAAAAACGCACGGAAATTCGTTCTGGATTCCAGAAGGTCCGTATAATAAGCTACAGCTGACGAAACAATTAAATTATTTAACATAGTGTTACGTTCATATTGCCAGAGATCACACTCCCAGAGTATGTGATGGGCCGACTGCTCATATTGCAACTCCAATGTCGAACATTGGCACCATGGTGAATCAATAAGTTTAAATGAGAACAATTTGCTTCTAAAGTTACCGTGGCCAGTAAGAAATTGGGCAACAGTGATCCACCTCCAACCATGTCCTCTCCAGCCGCTCATTCACGGATGGAAAGAACTGATATAGGTGGCGGACCTTAATAGAAGATTCCCATCTATACTGCCATTCACTTGGAGAGCTCATCCCAAAGGTTCGTTAATGGTTTAACCAATCTAGCAATTTTATTTCTATCACGTTGTGCTAGAAAGCTTGCTAACAAATTAGGTCTCGTACTGTAGTACATAGCAGCATGTCGCTGCACCTCAAGATCTACCGGAAGTACGGCCGCTATGTAAGTTATGGGATACCTATCGTATAAAATGGGTCGGCGCGCGAACGAGAGAGTATGTTCGTAAGGTCGCGGACAGTGGTCGACGTACCCGACGTGCTTGTGGCTGGCCACGAGCAGCTCGAAGTCGGGCCCGTAGGTCTGCAGCGCGTCCACCAGCAGCAGCGAGTGCACGGACAGCGCCAGCGCCAGGTCGCGCGGCCGCCCCGTGGCCGCCGCCTTCACGCCGCACACCTGCACCTCCGCGATGCTGCGGCCCAGGGACTGCACCTCCAGCGACATCTGCTCGATCGCGAACTGCAGCATGAACAGCGTCGAGTTCTGCTGCTGCGACAGCTCCGACCGCTCCGTCTCCGAGCTCACGCTGTTCTCGTCCACGTCGTCCGCCGGCTCCTGCGCCGGACTGTCCTCGCGGCCGCTGGGGACATAAGCAGCAGTCGGAGTATACCTGCGCGGCCAGGGCGGGGCCGCGAGCGACGCACGCACCTGGCGGGCAGCAGCGCGCAGCGCGCGAGCACGGCGCGCACGGCGAACAGCTTGTGCTCGCTGAGGTGCACGACCAGCGCCGGCAGCGAGCCGCAGGCCGTGGCGGACGGGTACTGCGGGTCGCACGTCTGCACCACGCGCCGCTCCGCCTGCAGCAGGATGCTGAACCGGTCCAGCAGGTGCAGCGACGACGTGCTCTTGGTGTGCGCGTACTTCCAGTTGTCGCGCGCGCGCCCCACCAGGATCTGCAGGTCGCTCAGCTCTATCTTGTACCTGCACAACAAGCCGAGGGTTAGCGGCGCCCCGTCGCCTCGCGGCATGCTGCAGCAGCGGGCTGTGTACCTGTCATAGAGTCGGTTGTGCAGGTTGGTGGCGTCCAGCGCGGGCTGCGCGCCGTGCTGCGGCGGCGGGTCGGGGGGGGAGCTGGGCGACAGCAGGCTGCCCGGGGGCGTCGAGCAGGGCGTCATGAACATCTCTGTGTAACAAAGGCGTTGCTTAGATGCGTTCCGCAGCCAGGTGGTGAATACATGCACGGCCGTAGTGTGGACTGCCGCGGTGTCCGTACCCTCGTCATCGGGCGGGGTGTGCGGTGCGCAGTCTGTCTGGTTAGCGTTGGCCAGCCGCAGCCTGCCGAAGTCGACGACTAGTACTGCAGAGTCTCGAGAGCAGAGTTCCTCCACGAACAGGATCTGAGGAGCAGAGATGTCCAGCTCCACTTGCCAGGTGCGGCGCTCGCCCTACACATACAGAACCATGAATAAATGGGTGGCATACACGGCAGGTGCGCAGGCGCAGGTGCTACATACAGGGTGTGCGTGCAGCATGTGTTCCCAGTGCGTGCGCAGGCGCGCGCGCGTGGAGTCGCGCACGTGCGCGTACGCGCGTGCCCACGGCGCGCTCAGCCACTGCTGCGCCCAGCGCGCCGCCGCCGCGCTGTACACCACCTCCAGCGACGCCGACTTCACCCACAGCCTGCGCAAACATGCCATCCGTACGCATTCATGTCGACTCTAATGACAGGCCACCTACTTCAACACGTCTGATTATATTGTGTCGACTGATTGCAGAACTAAATATTAAAAAAAAATTACAGACCAATTAATTAGTTTTATGAATTTACTGAAAGAATGTTTACTTGTAGTCACAGTTCATGCCGAAGGGTTTCTTCTCGTAAGTGAGTTGGAAGAGAGGTTCCTGCTGGGGGTGCGGGACGCTGGCGCCGGCCTGCGAGTGCGCGCGGCCCCACGACATCGCCGCGCCCGACGCGCTCAGCGAGCTCAGGCCCTCGCGGATCACTCCCTGCACCAGACACACACCGTCACCATCGACTCCAGTACACAATGCCACAATCACGGTCCACGGAGTGAGCAGAGACCTGTGGCGCGATGAGTATGGGGAAGAGTGTGTTGGGCGTGATGCGCTCGCGCAGGCAGACGGAGCCCAGCGACACGTGCAGCGCGTGCGAGGCGGCGCGGGGGCGGGACTCGATGCCCACGCGCACGCACCAGAACTGCAGCTCCACGCCTTCCGCAGCCTCGCTGCCTTCTGCCGCCTCGGGGACAGCTCTGTCGGACCACACACAGAATGTTCAAATATTACCTCGGAGGGAACTTCAGAACAAATACAGTTCACAAGCATCAATAATGTGCCAGAACCAATGAGAAATGTTCGTATATTTGTAAAGTTCACAAGTACTCACTTGTTCTCGCCAGCCTCAGTCTCCATGCAGAGGTTGAGCGAGCCCTTGTTCAGTATAAACTCGAACTTCCCGAACACGGTATCCCTCTTCAGCATCGTATTGTTGTCCAAGGAGTCAGCTATGACGTCGAGGATCTCCTCCTCCAGGTCGGCGGGGGCGGGGGCGGGGGCGGGTGCGGGCGCGGCGGAGGGGGGCGTGTCCTGCGGCGCGCCGTACCAGCCCCACCACTGCGGGAACCAGTGCACCAGCATGCTGCGGCCCGAGCTGCCCGGCTTGTCCGGCGTCGACGCTGGACTCGACTTTGGCACTTTGCGCATTGCCACCTGAAGTAATAAGAAAAAAGGTAATTGACAGAGGATGAAAATTAATTACCTATGTATTTTTTTTATTTTATCATTTATGAATACTTACATAAAACCATGTTAGATTTAGGAGTGAGTCACTACGTCACCGCTCCTTATTTTTTTAAACTGTCAAACACCAAGCGGTCACCGGTGACCGCAACCTATTGTTCTTTAATTGTGTCTATAATGACGGTACTCGACGAGTTAAGGGGGTATATCGTCGAATGACTTCTCCCGCCTTAGTGTCAGACTCTTACTAATTAAAACCCACCCCGTTCCTACTCCTGCACTTCGAGCCGGAGCCCCGGTAACCCATTAAGATCCCCGCGGCTCCGTTCGGCATCGCCCCTATTGGGTCCCATCTGTGGTGGTCTGATGGCTCGTTGAGGCGCGCGCGATACGCAACGCGCCGTACGCTCGGGTCTGGTTCTGGTCTGGTTAATTTAAATACTAAAGCCTTCTCCTAAGTGTAACAAACACTTTTCTTTACACGCAGGTCAAACTGACAATCTCCTATTTTTGAATTCGGTCAAAAAGTACGGTAACTTATTGGAGTGATGGTGTACCTCTCTCAAAGCCTTGAGCAGTGGCAGCGGCGTGCGCCACTCGAAGTCATCCTTGGCGGCCTTGCGGTCCGCCGGCAGCGTGGCGGCCGGGTTGCTCAGCGTCACCAGGCACGCCGCCACGTACTGCCGCGCCTGGCGGGCCCGCTCCGCGCACGACGCCCACGTCGGCTTAGGCTCGGTCCCTGGGCGCAAGGCTCGTCAGCGTATAAAGGAGAACAATTTAATAGTAGTACAAATAGTGATATCGATACCTACAAAATACGACTTCGCAAAGAAGTGTTTTTAAAAAATTAATTCTACTATAACTTTTTTGTTTATCTTCTAATGATTCTTTAAATGATTCCTACCACGAAAATACTTCGATTTTACAGGAGATTTAAAAGAAATATTGCGGAATTGGCTTAAAGCTGTATTTACTGTGATAAAATTCCTTTACGCCCACACACACACATACACACACACACAATAAAACCTTAACACTCCTAAAATATTTAGGAACATTCGCTATGTAAGTCATCGGTGTGTATAACAAATTTTCGCCCAAATATTCTTTTCGACATTTGAGAAGGTCAATACGAGTGCTCACAGCGATGGTCGGGTATGTGGCAGGACAGCGCGTACAGCCACCAGTCGCGCGCGCGGCCCCGCACGGGCGCGGCGGGCCGGCGCGCGCGGAACTCGCGCACGCGCGCCAGCCGCTCCAGCCCCGCCGCGCAGCACACCGCCTCGTTGTACTGCCGCTGCAACGGACGGGCGGGTTACGGGCGGCCAGCCGGGCGGTTACGGGCGGCCAGCCGGGCGGCGCCAGGCTGCGGCGGATACTCACGGACGTCAGGTGCAGCGACACGGTGTCCAGCGTGAGGTGCGCGGCCAGGCGCGGGCGCGCGCGCGAGCGCAGCGGCTGCTCCGTGCGCTCCCGACGCACGCGCGCGCGCGCCGAGGCCGGCCGCAGCACGTAGCGGTGCGCGCCGCGCCACGTCTGCCCCATGCGGCCCTGCAAGCGCCGCGGGTCGCTGTCATTACGCAGTCCCGAGCCTCACTTACCGCCATACGCCACGCTGCGTTACCGTTAGTTCCGCGATGGTACAGTTGGCGAACATGCCAGTGGGCACGGGCATGGGGTCCCAGTACACGGCGAGGTGGTGCAGCTCGAGCAGCTTGAAGGAGCAGCCGTCGGGGTCGCTGAGTAGCGTGAACCCGCGGCGCCACTCGCTGTCGCACGACTCGGCGCACAGTGATTCTACCGTCAGCCCGCACGCGAATGGACGTGCGCACGTTACTGCGTCTTCGTAGCGGATGTGTACGTCGTTCAGTTTCAACTAAATAACAACAAAGAAACCATAGCATTACCATACAATAGAATACATATTAAGATTATTGAAATATAAGGCTTCCTAACTAATCATTTAGAGCTTATTTTGTATGTACAATAGAAATATTATAATCATTTAGAGCTTATTTTGTATGTACAATAGAAATATTACCTGGAGATTCTCGACGATGTTGGCTAGTAGCCCAGTGCCGTAGCTGAGCCAGGATGAGTAGGAGGTAGCGTAGTAGCCGGCGTCCTCGGCCTCGTGTTCTGCGCGCCATTGTGCCTCCAGCGCGTCCAGAAGCGCCGTCTTGCGCTCGTGCGCTATCGACGCTTCCACCGAGCAGTCCCACTGCACAAACCAATTGACACCTCTCATCATCCAGGCCGAAATCTCTACAATCGATCCTTTTACAACTCACCGAATCCGACGTGAAACAACGCTTGCGTTGTGTTTCGTAGTATGATTGAGGTTACAGGAGGCCCAATTGTCCGCCTCCCTCCCCAGTCTCCCTAATCCCCGTATTTTTTTTTTTTGTTTTAATGGGTCAAGCCCTCAAACCTCTCAAACAACCTCTCAAAACCGCAGCAACTCCTGTAAGCCAGGACCTACAGTAACCATGAAAACACACTGTACACGGTACACTGAAGTCTGGCGCGTTCTAGGGACATGAGTAACTGTCTTGGTTCCCGCAACGAAGTGAATCAGAAGATATTATAAGAGAAGAAGAAGAAAAACTATAGTTTCCACTTTCCTCGGTAAATTACTGCAGGAGATACAATGAATTAAGCCTAAAGGCACAAAGAAGAGACTGTACAACTGGGTGAAAGAACCGATATAGGTGGCGGCCCTTAATAGAAGATTCCCATCTACACTGCCATTCAGTCATAAGCTCATCCCAAACATCCGTTATTGGCTTAAACAATTTAACAATCTTATTTCTATCACGTTGTGCTAAAAAGCTTGCTAACAAATTAGGTCTCGTACTGTAGTACATAGCAGCACGTCGCTGCACCTCAAGATCTACCGGAAGTACGCCCGCGAGCACAGGTAGGGCCTCAGTGCTAACCGTCCTATAAGCCTTACACAGGAAAATCAAAGCTAGACGCTGAGCTTGGAGAAGTTTTCGCCGTACCGCGCCTATTGTGGCCCTATCAGCCCAGACAGGTGCCCCTTAGCACACGCATCCCAGGTAGGTTGCTCCGTATATGATCCTGAGCGTATCCGTATATGATCCGGTAACGCACTTGTAACGCCCCTGGTGTTTCGGGTGTCTATGAGTGACGCCGATTGCTTACCATCAAAGATCCGTTAGCTCGTTTTCCGAAATATCCCATAAAAAAAACTAGATCTTGTGAAAGAAGTGCTTATCAACTTTGCTCTCTGTTTGGAATCATATTGTCTGTGGTCTGTGTTTTTGTATGTCATTCTTCCATCCATACTGCCTTTGTATAGTACTCCCACCAAATTTATTAATTTATTCAAACTACTAAACGTGATGACGTGCTCTTGGCTCCCTGATACCTACACCTACTGTTGTTTTATTCGTTTTTATTAGCAGTAAGTCTACCAAGAACTATAACTAAACAAATAAACAATTTAGGGTTCACCGTTGGATAGATTCTGCAATTGAAATTGTGGGATTATATTTGTTAACCAATCCTTTTACCTGATAGATCTAGTGTATTAATCAATGACTATGATTTATGAAGATAAAAGATAACAAAAAAAAATCAATCGTAAAAGTACTACTAACATATTTATATCAGTGTAATCTTTTATATAATGTTACAAACATTAATTTAGCAGAATAAAACCATTTAAAAACCACTCTCAGCAATGTATTGTGCTTAAAATAGAAAAATAGTATCCTGACATTCCATGTTTGTGTGTCAACATTATGTTATTATTATCAGTTCATCCAAATGTAATACACAAGAAATATTACAGTTGTGTCTGGTTGCAACAACAAATATTGAGCAGTGATTAGATAACATATCAGAACATTGCTGCACTTTCGGGAAGGAGATGATGGATGTGGCAAAATGTCTGTCAGTAGTCACTGTTCAAAAATTTTACTGTTTTACAATATTAAATTGTGTCACCTAAGGATATCCATATCAGATTAAAATGATAAAACTTTATTATCAACATTGAATGGGTGTTGATAATAAAGTTTAATATTGTTACTTAAAATTATATTACACTTTGTATACTGTAAATAATGACACTGTTGTTGCAACAATATAGACTCTGTTGACAAAACATGACAGTACTAGGTAATTCACGAACCTCATCCAAATTGATTGGTGCTGCTACTAGGTATAGCTTCTCGATGGCTATCAGCCATGGAGCTGATCGGATCTGCCGCACTGGTACTTGGAGTTGGACTTTCCCAATGAATCCTGCTTTGATCTCGACTGGCAGGCCGAGGTGGCGTAGGGCATCTTTCTTCAGGGGGAGATTCTCTAGTTCCACCTTCCCTTTAAATGAATAAACAAATTATTCATTTATTTATAGATATGTTTGTTGGTAAAAGACATTTGACTCCAATGCTAGGCAATGTCAATAGGGTCAATGACATTGTCTATAGGATCTCTTCCTTTAAGTAGTGGTGTAGTCCCATAAGACAATGGGTTAAAAGACATTTTTGTATGAAGTAGTTAGTGCACATACAGGATACAGATGGTACATTTTTTTCCATAATTCAAGAAAGAAGAGAAAGAAAGCAAGAAAAAGCATTTATTTGGCAAGTGGCACACAAATTCCTTACATATACAGTGTATTGCACTGATATCTTACAATATAAGTTTGTCATATATCCTCCAACATTTAATCACAGAGTTATAATATCTTATTAGAAAGCTATATGTCTTACACTAGCCTTTGCCCCCGGCTATCATGTGTAACATTAGCTATTATTATGCATATAAACGTTCCTCTTAAATAACTATATTTATTAAAAAAATTCTTAACTAAATCCATTGCATGATTTTAAAGATTTAGGCAACAGACAGATAGCAGAAAGTGACTTCTCGACAATCTTTAAAGAATTTACTATATGAATATGATATCACATTTTTTTAAATCAATTCTAAAAACTTGTGCCCGAATATTTGTTTATTTACATGTCTTTTGTCATATACAGGTGTCTATTATACAATGAAACGGTTTTATATACCACACAGTTTGAAACATCATTTAAAAAAGTATTAGTATTAGATGATACAGTATATTAGACTGCCACCTTACAGTATTTTAGACCGCCACCAACCCAACCATTCATTAGGCAATAAGACTGTACTATACTATACTATAAGTCATGGCTCTTGTGTCGTCTTAATAACGTAATATCTAAATATACTGGAGAGGACATGTACGCAGTAGAGTGCAGCGCGACTATATGAACATACCCGACAAGAGAGCTACGCTCAGCTGATCCGTGTTCAAGTTCTCCACGTACTTCCCCAGATAATTGTTCAGAACCCATGCTACTAATCCCTCCAACATCGTGCATCGTGGTCTCTGCTGTTAGTCCCACTAGTTCACACGGTCTTGTGGTTCACTTTCGCCTTTATTACTCCAATGTTTGTCATTGACCTAACACCTCTGTTGTTGTTGTCGTCCTTTATCGCCGATATTATGTCACGTTTCGTTAAAGCCCTAATGAACTTTGTCCGGCAATTTTAGAATTTATTGCGCAATCTACCCATTCATATAAAAATAAATTGGGTGTTATTAAACTTTATGCAACTTGTGCCGCAAAAACTAGCAAGATAAAGATAACATTAATTTTCACCATACAGTTTAGGGCAAATTTTAACAATGCTGCCATCAACAGTTTTTGAGAGTCCTATTCACAGAGTACAATAATACTTTATGACCTTTTAATATACAGAAAAAAATGTTTTGGTAAAAATTAAAAGGAGCATCCTTTGCTCTTTTAATTTAAATGGGTTGGTTTGTGCTTTATCACGTATCAAATTGTGGTAGCTGTGGTTTGACTTTTGTAATCTAAAATTAGGTTTAATTTAGCACACAGACTTTAAAATTCCCATATGCAAGGAAAATTTGAACGTAGTGGTAACATTATGATAATCATTGAATCTGTCAAAAATTCTGTCAAATATTAACAGCTGCCCGCTAGTCAAACTGTCAATGATTGAGCTTGCCATCAATACCCACGACCCGACTAAAGAAACCTATACACTGTAGAACTCGATTGTGCTATGTTCAGCTATGTTTACCAATTTATTTACGTTTTGTATGAACGTCGCGTCGATTAAAAAGAAAACAAAGTTTTCAATCGTGTGCTCATTCAGCCACTTAAATCATGTTTAAGGATACTATGATTTAGCCAAAAGTTACATATTATATTATTACAAAATATGAACTAACATTGATTCACAGAGTTCAGAGAAATCACACTAATATTATGAATGTGAATGTTCCTTTGTTTGGTTGTTTGAATATTTGTCCGTCAATCCCTCTAAAACTATGAACGGATTTTGATGTTTAGTATACACTAGGCCCTAGTGTATACCTCATAACAAAATCCTGACCTAAAATCCTAGTGGCTAGGATATGGTGGTGGTGGGGTATGGGTTGACCTAAGTACCTAATTAGGTGATAGGATATTTTTTATCCCGGTTAAATGCTCCATGAATGTAATTAATAATTTCATGAGGATCACGTTGTTCCTTTTACACTACAAGAAATTAAAAATATAACATAACATCACGCCTTTTATCCCCGAAGGGATAGGCAGAGGTGCACGTTATGCCACTGTACACTGTAACACCCATTTTTCAATATTTATGTGATGGGTCCCATGTAATAGGGGGTGAGCCTATTGCCATATACCAGGCATAATTCCAGACTCTGTGCTACTACTGAGATTTTTTTAAACCTAGTAATACTTTGCCCGACCCGGGAATCGAACCTGAGACCCCTTGTCCGGCAGTCGCACTAGCGACCACTCGGCCAACGAGGCAGTCAGGCAGCAAATTAAAAATATATCCATCAATAATGATTTGCATTTGCATCACAGACCTACTATAATATGGACCAGAAATACCTACAAAATACGCGTGCATACCTACTAGAAACCGAGGCCTAAAAATGGCTGCCATTGCTAGGGAAGTACTGTAGTCAAAACCAAAAAAGTATCGATATCGATAGCAGAGTTTTATACATTAAAAATCTTCTGGTACTTTGGATTTTTTTTAAAGGTACAAATCATCGAAGGACTTAAAGCCACTTCTGACGCAGCACTTCATTTTAGGGAATTTGTGGAAATAAAAAAAAAACATAAAAATTATTTCAGTTTTGTACATTTAGTGGTACAAATCATAGACTGAACTAAATGAAAGTACCTACTGTATGAAGAATTGATATTATTATGTTATTGTACTATCCCTTTTTTTATTTCTATTCTGTAAGATTTATTTTCAAAATGGTCTCTTCAGACCCTTTATTTTGATACTCTACTCTACTGGACTCCATAACATACAAACTAAAAATATGTTAGTTTCTTATCGATATGTTATTAAATAAAATACATCACTATTTGTAAATCGTCATTTGTATTGTAAACAAAACTTAAACAAATTTAGCAAATGAAGTTAGTTATCATAAACAAATTTAATGTACATTTGGGGGCTTTTATTCTATATATAAAATAAGGCTAGATAAACAAGAAAACTAATAGTATGATAAAGTTTTTTCTTAAAATACGGCTACTAACCTGTGCATAGTCAAATGAGGTTGATTGGGGTTTTTCCTTGCCCCACACTGAATTATTGAACAAGTAGACATATTAAATATGCACCACTAGACACTCACAGCACAAAACAAATAAGTTGGGAGCGTTTTTATTGTTAAAAATCGCAATCCAAATCTAATGTTGTTGTTCGCTTGACACCTGATGTACTACAAAACTATGCGGCCTAAAGATGGCGGCTGGCACGCGAGGTAGGTACCTTGTCAGAAATGTAGAAATGTTGCCAGGCAGAGAATAAACAAACAACGTGACGTCTCTTTCTTCAAATGAGGAAACTCATTGATTAAAAAGAGACAAAGTGTGGTTTCATATTTCTATATCGATTTGATATATATTTGTATAAGCAAATAAGCTATAGATCATTACTTCTGGTCCATATTATAGTAAGTCTGTGATTTGCATGCATTCTGTTCCGTCAATGTCAACATTGTTAATTTGTCAATGTATTTGACGTTGACGTTGGCATTTATTTGACAATATTATCCGTAAAACAGACCGTCGCATTCATTTGGATTATAATTTGTTTATTATATTTTACCCATTTTCTTTGGGTTATTACGAGTAACAGTGAAACATGAAAGCAGTACACGGCTTAACTAGGTTTAGTGTATCACATCTAAATCGGTTTAATATATGTTGTCTGGATTTTTCATCGAGACTACAGGTGCGACATAGTGCCACCTTATTAAACTCACATTTTAAGTTATTAGCACCTACAGCGGTTAAAATTAGAAGTTTGGGGCTTGGACCAACTTCTAAGGATTTCGATGATCAGCCACAAGCACAAATTACTAGTCCTTTGACAAAACTACACGCTAATGAACTTGTGCTACACTTAAATGATGAAGAAAGAAAAGTGTTGCTCCACGCCTTACAACAGTACGAATCTACAAGAATTAAGGAAGATTATGAAGGTAATTTACTAATTTTTTTTTATAATTTTCGTATTTCTTGCGTCCTAAGATTTAAACAATGTTTGTACAATTTTCTAGATAAGTTAGCTGGTAGAAGATGGCGCAGCAAGTTAGGGAGACCAAGCAAGGTACCAACATTAGGAGACGTAGACCCCACAGGTTCCTATTGTGAGGTGCCAGATGACTGGCTCAAGAAAAAGTATGGTGCGTATGGAATTAGATCAGAAGCCAACTAAATCCAGTTTTAACTAGTTGCTAAGGTGATGATGTCATTGACTGCTTACCCATGTAGATTACTCATTAAGTTTGCTTCTCCAGGATTGCAGTTGATGGTATTTATTAAATGTTTCAATTTCATCTGTTTCAAATTTTGTTACATTCATGTGAATAAGAATAACATTAGATATATTTTTCTAATATTAGGTTTCATAAGTAATAATTCCATAAATGAAAAACAAATACATGGTTTGGTTAATTTTCAGTTTTGCATGTGGTATATATGTTTAAATAATACATAGAAAACATTACAATTCCCCCCCCCCCCCCCTCAGTTTAAATTAACGTTGAAAAATATTCATTTATTGTAAACACCTAAATTGACTTCTGATGGATGATAAATAATATGAGTATTTATTTATTTTTCTAATGGCTATGAAATACCCCACTAGCAGAATAAAAAATGTATAACTAAGACATATTTTGTGTTGCAGCGGCTAAGGTGCCAGCACCCACCACAAAGGAGTTGTTACACTGTAAGTATTATCTGTATCTGTAAGACCTACATATACTATCTAATCTTATATGAATATCTATTATTATCAACCTTATGTAATCAGAGAACATTAACATGTAACAGAAATAATTTAATTCAGCATAGCTTAAAAAAAACGGAACATTAAATTATGATGAAATTATACTTTTACTGTGTAAATAGGGTATAAAACACTCAATGTGAAACAATGCTTATGTTTTACCACATGATTGAGGCTATAGGAGGCCTAATCCTCACCTCCCCATCACCTAATATCTAATCCAAAAGTCCAGCAGCACATTTGTAAGTCCGAGTGATGGTAATTAACTAACTAGCTTCATTAACTCTTGGACCATTTTAGATATCACAAAAAGTTATTGGTTGAAAACAAACTTGTATTGTAAATAAGTATTTTTGTTTTAGTGTCGATGGCAAATGCCATACCTTTCATTGGATTTGGATTCTTGGACAACTTTATCATGATCATTGCTGTGAGTATTTCTGTATGGTAGTTACATTTAGTCAAGATATTTAACTACCGATTTATTGATCTTTGTCTTACATGACAGGGGGACAGTATAGAAACAGGCATGAGTGCATACATTACGTTGTCAACGATGGCTGCGGCGGCGTTGGGGAACACGCTCAGTGACGTCATCGGCATCGGCTCTGCTTACTACGTAGAACGAGTCGCCTCCTTGGTCGGCCTGGGCGCACCCAAGCTATCTCCTGTTCAGCTCGATATGACTATTTCCAGGCGGTTCTCAAACCTGGTATGTATGAGTCCGACAATACCGACCCGAACATTCAGAAAATTATCAAATAGACACATTCTAATGAACATAATCAAATCTCACATATTAATATACACATTCTAATTTTAGGGACGCGTTGTCGGTATCACAGTAGGCTGCATTCTGGGAATGACGCCATTGCTCTTCATGGATGAAGATTCCAAATCCGAACAAAAAAATGAGATGATATAGAGAAGGAAAAAAACATATCAAACTGTTACTTATAGGACCTTTTATTTTGTCCTACCCTCGAACTGTGTAGTTACAAAATTAGGGAAAAACTAAATTGTATATTACCTATGTCTTAGTTTTGTAAATATTATGAAGTGCAATATTTAACGAAAAAATACATATTTATTTTTATCCAATGGATATTATGCTCCGAGTGTGATTTTTGTTAAAAAAGTTCTTTACTGTAATATTTATGTATCATGGTATAAAGCTCACATTTAGGGTAGTGAATCACTTTCCTATGACCCAAATAACCACAGCTCTTGTATATCTCACACCACCACAAACTTGTGGCGTGGACTGTAGGTATCCTAGTCTATAGACGTGCTCATGTATGATCCTAGTGTAAGTATTTTAGAGAAATTTACTGATTTTACCTCTTAGGTAGTACGAGTAATATTACTTTAATGTCGTAATGATCTTTAAATCACTTCTATAGTGTTTACACAATTATAACTATCTTGTAAAGTATATATGGTACATTATCATTCAAGATCTGACCAAACTTGATGATACAGGTATATCATCTATGTGCATAGTAAATATGATAGGTATTTAACGCCATAATATGTGGTATATAAAAGGACATTGATAAAAAGGCGGACATAATGTCATTTATGTGTGCGTGTGAAATAGGTTACCATATTACCAGACTTAAGAAAAAGACAGTGTCCTTCGTGTCAATGTGTTTATGTTCTGCGTTCTTTTATGTTCTATAAATCTATAGTAGCCAGGTGCCACGGTTGTTGTTTCAAGAGACTATGTCCGCCTTTATATACAAGAGACAAAGTTTATAGAAAATAAGTTATACACTGGCAATGAGACAAGAGAGTTTATCATGTGATACTTTTTGGTCTCTGCCAGAGAATTATTATACATGTAAAAAAGGTTTGTTTAGGCTTACGACATTTTTTGATAAATTCTTGTACCAAAATATAGAGTAATTATGCAATTACAAAACAGCAAAATTTGATATAGCCAACACCTAAAATTGTACTACTCCCATCTGATCCATCGTACTATATCTAGGTACTCATCACGTTGTTAATTTTATTGCTATACATATGTGTGTACTAATTACGTACATAAACTGTTTAACATATTTAGTAGCTAAGTTTTACAAATTATAACTGTATCCATGAACTGTATTAAGTGAAATATAATAATTTAAATATGTAGTTGATAATTTACAAAAATGTTACTATTGTATGTTACTATTATTTTAGGATTTAGCAGTAAGTGCTTTGTGAAAGTAATTAATTGCAGGTATATTGAAAATGTTAGTTGATTTATTTATTAGAGCTTCGTTCGTTTCATTGAATAGTTTCAGTGAAGTCCTTACTGCTGTCCGTTGTCACTAACCTGCTTGCGCCAGGTTTGTATAAAAGGATTAATGTTTCGCCTAACTGATGAATTATGTAATCTTAATATGTTGACCGATCATATGTTAATAATCATATGTTAGGGGACAACATGGCGGTGAGGTTGAGGTAGCAGACATCCGGAATGGTTGCCTGTTTGTGAACATTTCTTGCCATAGATCGCTCTCTGGCAGTGAGTTATGCCATATTTTATCAGATTTTACGCTTTCACTTTTATCAAAATAATTCCTCTAATCCCTTTGGAAGTTATAAGAGGCTTTATTTACTCGCTGAACTTATTATTTAACTGAATACAAATAACAATCTAATAATTATAGTCAGCACTGCACATGCAGAGGAGTCAGCGGAGGTGTTATACACTGCGATTAATGATTTTGGATATGAAATATAATTCGCTCCGCACTGCTTGCGTCGGAGAAATATTTGCAAGTTCCTACTTGCTAGCGTCTAGCTTGCTAACTAGCAGTTGTATTTATAATTTCGAAGAGTTATTGGCACTTCTCAGCTCGAAATTCTTATTTCGAGAGATAACTTAGTTGCTTCAGGGTCCTGCGGGAAACTAGTCGAATAAATTCAAATCAAGTGATAAATATATTAAAACATAAATAGCTCAATATCAAGCACAAACATTGTCTCTAGTCAACGCACAGTGGAATTTGTATATACTTGTATAGAAAATGGATTATATTAGTACAAAAGTCGGCACTATATATTCACGTTTTAAACTGTTCTTTCGTGAGTGAAAACTATTTTTTCAATAATTTCGGGAAACATTAACTTTTTAATAATGTATATAATGAATTGTATCGTATTATGGTTAAAATACTGCTTACATAATGTGTGTACAGTGGTAATTGTACAGTGGTATAATGTGCACTTCTGCCTACCCCTTCGGGGATAAAAAGGCGTGATGTTATGTTATGTTATGTTATAATGTGTGTAACACAATATTAATATATCTATGAGTCCTGGTTGCCATCACTCTACAGGTAGTACGACGTCACTACATTCTTTATCGTTTTTCTCATGTCTGCTTGTCTTTATATTCGGCTGAGAATTTAAAAAAAAATGTTATTTTTAAAAAATTGTTACTGGCATCGTCTGTAAAGCGTTTGGTCCACGTTAAAGCTTATGACAATCATTGCTTTACTTACTGCAATAGTTTGTATTTTGTGACTGAGTAATGTATACGTTGATGTACGTAGTATTTTAATTACGAATCCAAGTTCTAAGTGTATTAAAGTATTTAATGTTTAAAATCGTTAATATTATTTACAGTTATCAGAATGTTGTATGCGTGTTTTATTCTTTGTAATTTCTCGGTGGAATTAATAAATTGATATTATAATTACACACTGATTTTGTTTTGATAACGAAATTGTGAACAATGAAACCGCACGATAAAATTTAATAAAACAATTGAATAATGTCATAATCATCGTTTAATAAATAATTATCACTTGTTGATAAAGATATGCGTATGTAAAAGCTGCATTTGTTTAAAAAATACGCTAAACAAGATCAATGATCATACAGCAGGCATTCACACACAATGCACACGGACACACGAACGCACACATGCAACTGCTGTCGGGGACTTATCCGCCTGATGAAGCTAAGTTTTGAAGAGTAGTGTCTACACCCACCGGGGATATCTATCAAACCAGCTGCGAGGTTTTGCAAAATATTTGGCTCGCAACTTCGTTCAACACGATTGTAATACTCGAAAAGCAATAAACGTAGAAATGATTCCAATGGGAAAGATAACAATAATGTCATTAGTCACCAACAGCAGCAGCACGCTTGGCGTTTCGATATAATTTTACAATTAAACCTAAATAGAGTGCGAGGGAAAGATACAAATACTCCGTTATGCAACAGCGCGTCCCTTGCATCACTTACGCAAACATGTCACAAGAATGTGATGCATTTGGCAGAACACTACAGTTCAAACGTGGTCGTATTTATACCGTATTATAATTACATTATTACATTGTATAAATTCAATAAGTATATACGTATCCTATCCATTAGGTTTTATAAACTTCAAAAGGGTTAATATAAGCAGTACGATATTATCTATTTTACCAAACAGGTATCTACAAGTGCGTAATGCGTTGTCCCTCACTGAGTCAACATTCAATAATTTGTTTATTTAAATGTGAGCCGTGTTCTGTACGTAAGTAGTGTCATTTTGCGGCGCGGCGCGGCGCGGACATCAATCATCATTATCGTCCAATAGAAACTTGAATTAACTTCAGCGATAGTGCAATTGATTATCTTGCATGTTACACAATGTAATCGACTTTTCATCGTTCAGTTGGCTCAAGTGTTGCAACGCACTAAGCACATGTTTAAAATTTATTTGAAAAACCAACTTATTAACTATTACCATGAGGACTAGATCTCGTATTATCTAACGCGGCACGGCTCGGCGCCGTCCGCGACACTACTAGCTGGCAACTTGTTCAACACTATTCGTTAAGAACATAATCTCGGTACAGCGGCTGCTCGCTCGCTACAAGTACATGAGTCTACTAGATCATTACAGAGAGGAGAGCACACTACGGTTCAACGCTTCCTTCATTGTCTCTAAACAAAATTATCTACGCATTTACGTTACCCGTGGCATTTACAAACTGTGACAAACTCAAAGAGAATGTGAAAAATTTTGAACAAAAAGCAGTTCCTAGTATCCAAATTACAGTAAAAACATTATAAACTTACGTAAATGTTGGTCATGATTACAGATAGGTACAAACACTTAATTTAGGCTGCGTCAAGTAACCGTGAGATCCTTAAATTTAGACAATAGGTATACGCGATCAATCTCAAAATAAATATGTATAGGTCTTTACAAAAGTGTGATACAGCTATGATAACTGTGCTTTAATACAATCATATTACAATATGGTATAATACCTAGACATGAGTTACAGTGACTCCTGCATGTTTCGATTCCTATATTATTCGAGTTCATGTTGATTTACTTTGGATTTCGTATGTTACAAGAATGCAAGGACAATATAAAAATCGGCCAACATAATATGATATTCGTGCGGTACTCGTTCTGTCTCCCAGGGCACCGTGTACACAGAGTACAGATACACGCTACTAATAGTAATAAATACTTAAGTATATCACATTGGATGCGGCGAACTAAGTAGGTCGTGCATGCAGGTACACAACTAGTTTTCATAACAGTTCACAACCAAACCTGGTGTCTTCACAAAATACATCAAAATGAAACACCGATATGCACCGTTCGCTACGTCCCTCCCGCCCTGCTCCTTGCACGGACTGACGCCCGCGGCCGGCCCCCACACCACACGCAACACTTCACTTGGTGGACACTCTGTACAAACGTATTTATAAACAAGAATATAATGACACATGACAAAATCCTGTATCAAAATATTTGGCAGTATACAAAATACCCGGCTATTACATAGTCACTGGTTGCTGTTTGACCGCCAAACAGGTGAACTATCTCTAATATACTTACAATGATTTCAATGATATAATCTGTGCCACATGATAAAGTTCTTTGTTATATAAACTGTTGCCATTTAAGACAAATATTTGTTCTAATTCATTGGCATACAAATGAAGATAAGAATAAATGAATAGCCTGCATATTGTTTAGGTATTTAGTTTTAGAAAAGAAATAATTATAAAAAAGCCACATTTTGAGCCAATATGTAGCCGGTATGTTGCGACTGCGCGGTATAAGCATGTGATAGTGTGTACTTAACGTAAAGTATAATATTGCTCGACAAAAGGCTCACGTATAAATTATGACTAATGAGTATCGATGCACTAACCACTAACATAGCAATAAACGCGGGACACGGGCCGTCACACGACCGGCGTGCTCCGCCAACTTAAACTAACCATAGTTACGAAACATGTAGCACTACTTTACATACTACGTCTAATGTACAAACTTATGTACAACTCAATGAACACAAAAAATGTTCCTAGGAAATAATTCACAGCTGACGACAGTATCTCGTTCGTTACACCGGACACGGCATCTTTGTACTTGGTTAGCAGTGCAGGACTGCGACACAGCCTACACATAGGGTCGTATCTTCGTGGTGTTTGCGCAAACGCGTCAGTCATCATTGCGCTGCCATCTCGGTCAGCACCTTTCTCGCTCGAAACGCGATTAATTTATCAAAGTAAATAATACTACAACTATAAAATAAATGGTAAACAACAAGTAACTCGCATCCACTCGTGCTCCGCACCTTTAGAAGGTAGCAAATACATGATTGCTGTAACGAAACTATTTAGTAACAAACAATACTGTTATAAACATTTAGAATTTAGACAATATAAACAATTGACAAAGGTAACATTACATTTATCGCAGGCTCCGAAATATACTAAACCGAACAATGTTACTTTGTACCTAATATGGCAAATGAATAGTTGCTAATACTCAAACTCAGCTTATCTTCTCACCATTGTCTAGGATTGCTAACGACTCTCTGAATTCTGCCTTGTACTTACTCATCTAATAAATATGTCTTTCACTAATTTCTAAACCAATACGAATTTTCAAAATTCAAACAACAAAATCTCATCTATTTGGCGTATTTTCATGAAATGGAATGATATTAAATAATGTCAAAATTTGGTCTCACTAACATATCCAATTACTTTTTTTATCTTAATTCTAACTGTCGTCGTCACTGACAAATCCATACTCGTAGCATCACTCGGCCGCTCAGGCGGCGTGCGCCGTGAGCGAGTCTGCGGCGGCGGCGTGCTCGGTGCGGTAGTCCTCGGTGGAGTTCCGCAGTAGCTGGCGCAGCTCGGCGCGCGCGCCCGCCGCGCTCACCGTGCGCCAGCGAGCGCGCGCGCGCACCACGTACGCGGACTCCTCGAAGCCCGAGCGCAGCCCCAGCACGATGCTCAGCGCCGACGCGTCCTGCCCGTGGCAGCCCGAGTACCGGTACTGCGGCTTCTTATCGAACCTGCAGCCCACTGACTGTGCACCTGCACCACCACATACATTTATCACAATGACAATGTGTTTACCTCTGTCGCATTACATTCATCACTTATCATTACAGACCTATAGGCATGATGCAATCGAGAGTGAGTGCGCACTGTATCCAGGGACGCATGATGTCCACCACGGAGGGCTTGTTGACGACGATGAGCCGCGTCACGTCCATCATCTGTACGAAGAGGAAGTCGTCGATGGTGGCGTGGAAGTAGTGGAACATGCGCGGGTGCGTGAGGCTGGTGACGGCGGCGCGGCGCGGCCAGGCCAGCACGCCGCCGCCGGCCGCCGCGCGCGTCCACAGCGCCGCCAGCTCGCCCGCCGTGCCCGCCCACCGCTGAGACGCTTCGCAGAATATGACACCACCTACGCGGCTTAACGCGTGCTGTAAACAGACAACAAGATTTTCAAGTAGTCAAAATTTTGAAATATTGTTTAGTATTTGGAGCTATACCCCTTTGAGTGAATTAAAATGATTCAACAAAAACTGGCAAAACTGAGACTCTATATTCTTCTTGTGCAACACAACACGTGCTACAGAACTAAAATCAACACTCGCGATGCAGAAGTTACAAGTTATCCCCATTTAGTTGAGCGTTGAAAGATGCGCGCAATTAGTATGAAAGCCTCCGGTTTGAAGGAGTTTCGTGCGCCGCCAGCCTTTGTTCTACGAAGTAAAGTTGTAGCGCCGAGAATCATGAAACATTTTCTATTATCTCAACAGGCAACTCCTCAAAGTATATTAAAAGTTTTCTATTATATCGTCCGTTTAGATTAGAGTTATTCAAACGGACATAATAATATATTTCACTATATTGGCAACTTATCGGACATACATGCCAATATTGCCCATAACTAAATATAAATAAAAATTGGAGAAAGAATGTAAGATATTGGAAATTTCCAATTGCATATCAAATAAAAAACACAGACTCCTTAGTAATTACTAAGGAGTCTGGGTTTAAGGTACAACCTAGGCGTCTTCGAGGTCCGAGTAAATACGTTGCTTTTATGTTTTCCGCCACAGTACTGCATCCGCTCATTTCAGAAAAAAAATAGCAGTTTAACTCGTCGAGTACCGTATTTATAGACACAATTAAAGAACAATAGGTTGCGGTCACCGGTGACCGCTTGGTGTTTGACAGTTTAAATGGTTTTACATTTTTGTTGGGACCATAGTTTCGTAAGTACATACATACCTATATGAGGAACTAAGACCAATGAAATTGCTAGCCAGACATTATTTAGGTGCCGACGCGGTTCATATGACTTAGTCTACAAGTAAGTTGTTGGATATAGCTAAATGATTGTTAACTAAATTGTTGACTGGAGAAGAATTCACGAAATAAAGAGTGATCATGTCAATTGTCCTTTATCAATTAAGCCACCGAGCGATTCAATAGAGCGAGTGTCGGGAATCTTTTGAACATACGTAATAATTGTTGAGGCGTAGGCGTCCAGAGTCCACACGGCACACCTTATCCAAGTGGAGTCAGGATGATATAGTGGTGAATTTTGGGGGCATCATAACATAGGTCTATTAGTCATTGAAAGCTATGCGCAGGTTTCAACGGTGTTCTGGATGCGCATTCTGTACCTACATAGCCTAATGAGTAATGAGATATTCCTCTACTTTGTAACCCGACATGGCTCGGAGCCCGTTTTACTATTGAGCATTAAGTTTTTATTAACTTCACAATCACAACTACAAATGGAAACTTAAACAGGAGTGATGGAACAGGGCCTCAGGACTTTGGGATACTTGCGGTCAAGCGGTCTCCAAAACTCCGGTATAAAAATAACACACTTGTACAAGTTAGTATCACTTTTATAATTTTTCAAGTTTGACGAGTGTCTGCTCAGGATGCAGGAACACGCACAACGGACACAAGCACTCGATGTCTGTACTTATTTTTAGAATAATTTTCATAACACAAAGAATGGTTCCTTTAAACATAAATCACAGGCGAAATGATTACGAACATGTGCGCCAAATATTACATGTAGTCGTGTTTAGTGATAGGTACATCGTGACGGTACGTCTTGCGGCCGTAAATAAATGAATCTTAGAGATCTCTCTGAATTATTTATTTACAGCAAACAGACGAGGGTCGGGGGATGCCGATACATTCGACTATCAGAAATAATTTGAGTTACCAATGGAATCTCGAATCATCTGGGGAGGTAGACTTCTGCATGAGTATCACTATGCCGGAAGTTGAAGATTCTATTTAATGCTAAGCGTCCGCCACAGACGAGATGTATTAATTACGTACTAAAAATAAACATGAAAGTGTAAGGGTTACATAGACAAACGAGTCAATGGCTGAATGGCTGGACCCCCACTAACAACAGTAACAACGTATCGTGTTTAATCCGCAGTCTCCGGGTTGTAATTTTATCTTCTGGCTGGGTATTAGGTGGTCACTCACATTGTATAGAGGTAGATACTGCACGATACATTCCCCACGCACAGTTACTCCATAATTTTTTGATAAAGTGTTCTTTGTAGTGATTTTCTAGACGTTTTTATGTCTTTGACCTTCCTGGAACTATTAATATAAGCGTTTTCAGAAATAGAGTTTGTAAAATATCGGTCATTAAAACTATTTCGGCGTGAAGTGACCTAGACAGTAGAGACGCAGACACCACAGACATAACGTCACGCAGTCACGCTCGCTCGCGGGAGGCGAGGCGGACATCGGATTATAGGAATGTTACGCTCACTGCTGTTACCTTCTGTAGCGACAATCTGATGCAGAAAATTAATACTTTACTGCTTATTAACTTCCAGGAAGCTTCATTCGTATACTTTAATTTAGCGTTCTGTTATACCCAAGCCCCAAGGAATGTTCCCCTTAACCCCGTCAGTCAAAAAGCTTTACATAGAGAGGAGTGGAAAGAGGGTAGGGAGGCCTTTGCCCTGCAGTGGGACGATCATGGCTGAAAATAATAAATAAATAACCCCGTCAGTGAAGTGACAGTTCACTTCTCCCTTTAAATGCAGACACCCCCATTCCATACACAAACAGGCAGTCGTATTCCATCTACAATCCCGTGCACTCATGGGTCACACTCGAAAATGTATTAATTCATGACGTTTAAATAAAAGTAATTATGTTCTTCGGAACTGCAATGTTTCGTATAAGAAGAGAACTCAACATACCGAAATCTAACAGTACATATATATATATAGCGTATGTAAGAAAATGGAAGTTAGAGCAATCAGTAATCCTAATTTTACGTTTTATATACTTTAAATATGGTCACTATTAAATTAATGTAAAGTGCCCTCTAGTGTTAGTTTTTTTTTTTTTTTTTTTAAAAAAACCTTGCCCCACACTAGGATTTTCTCCTGTGTCGTGGGTGCGTTTACAAACATACAAGTTCACATACACAATGACACCCAGACCCGAAACAACAATTTGTGGATCACACAAAGTGTTGTCCCGTGCGGGAATCGAACCCGCGACACGTTGCACGGCAGCCGGTTGCCCAGCCACCGCACCAACCGTGCAGTCAATTATAATTAGGTACGCTATATAATATTCATAATTAGGTACGCTATATAGGTATGTACATGGGCACTATCGCGCGATAGTTGGTCGGTACCAATGCGCCATTATTACTGATAACGTGCTGGTATTTTAACTGCTGACAAACAATAGGCTGCTAATTTATAGTACCTGCATAAATTGTTTAATATTACTAACATAACAAACAACCTGTATGGTGCTTACAGTGCATAGGTACTTGATAAACATTGATGATACTGAGGAGAGAAGTGTGGATCGATAACATCGTCGTTGAGATAAACATACACCGAACACTATTCTAGTTTCTATTAAGAATTTAGATATCGAAAACCCTTAAACCATGGTTAGGAGTTGCAGGTACAACCATTCAACCAATGAGATAGTCACCAGTACAACAGAATATAAGATCGATCAGAATGTGAATTTCATGTAAATAGGTATCACTATTTAGAAAATTATATCACAAGCGAATAATGAGTGTGACCAATGAAAGTAAGTGCACTAATTCGGTATGCAACCTTCGCCTATGTTCGAGGGTTTGAAGCCGGACCTCCACTAGCGCATCGTTGTTGATGAGCTTCTTGGTACGAGCATATACACATAATTATATCTCACTAGAGAAAATTATGAATGGAGATGATGACAGGGTATGAAAATTAAAAATATAATTAGTCCGTAAGTTAGGTAATGAAAAAATATTAGACACGTATTTTTTTATTTTGTCGTATAATAAAACAATACTTAGATAAAACGAATCAAAGTTTAGGAGTGGGGGCTAAAACGTCATTCCTTAGTATAAAATGTACTGAGAAGTGACGTCACGCGACATTTCAAATCAATATATCTTCGACACTATTCGTTTCTGTGAGAAAATAAAAAATACGTGTCTAATGTTTTTAAATAATCTATCAGACGGACATTAAAATAAAAATTAGTCGTCTACCCCATTCTTAATTTAAGGATAGGTACCACAGCAGTAAGGTACCTATGTAGGTACAATATCTATCCCTAATTAAGAATCTGAAAGAAACCATTTCTTTTATCATATAACAGTTGCGATTGTGACGCACGCAGTCGCTCACTCTCATGCACATATTGAAATGAAAGTCATCAATGGAGAAATATAGAACATAACATAATGCAATTTGACGAGTTAGTCACGTAACACTAACAGGCAGTTTGAATTGAATGCAGTGCACATTTGAGTGCAACCAAATTGTGCTGCAGTTGGCGAGCAGATCAAACGAGATTGCTTTACGTTGAACGAGATCGACACGAGACAGCTATCATTACTGCATGCAAACTATTTCGCAATTGGAGTAGTTACTGTTGAAATTCAGTCCGGCTGACTAGAACTCTACTGCCATATAAAACAACATTAAAGTGTTGTTGCGGTTTATTTGTTCTGATGTTTAACGTTGTCGCGCCGCGACCTTACAAGTGATCCCTCTATACTAATCTAACCCTTAGCCTCTGCTAACCAACTCTTCATTTAACAAAACCTTGTTCTAATAAAATTGACCTGCCGGTTAATTAGTGGAATTGTTTCTGGTCGCTTGTATCACATGTTATCGTATTACGTCTACCTGTCCAAGTTAAATTAATTCGGTCACTTAAACTGTTTAGGGTAATTGAAGATAGTAAACACACGATAAGTAATCCAATTACAAGAAAAAATGTTCAGTTAGACTGGTGACACGGTGACACAGAGTTGACGATAACGTGTGTTATTATGAAAACATACGTGCCCCAGTAGACGCGATGGTGAAATTAACAGAATAGCAACATTAACTAATTTAGTTAGTTGATACATCAAGGAATTAAATTTAATAGCTGGGAAATAAATATCAGTATAATGATGATATGTACGAGTTTATAATTCTCTATTAGTAGATAACAGTGAGACAGTATAATATCTAGTAATACAGTTGACGTAACGTAACTTAAAGCGATAAAATAATTTGGCCTTATGTTGATGTAAGCATATATATTATATTCAGTTGAGCGTTGAGCAGGAAGGAGGAGTCTAGGTTAATACTGCTTTTTAATTGCAGTTAGGTTCAGTGCGTGATAATACATCTCCGACATCTCGTAAGAGCATTTTTGTGTCAATTAAGCGATGAAGGACTATGAAAATAGGTATTTAACCTTTTCGCCGCCAACAACTTCTATAGAAGTTCAGGATTTTCGTGCCGTCCACGCCACTACTTCTATAGAAGTTCATTGTATCTACCTACTATAAAAAATACATTTACGATACATAAAACATTTGTTTCTTTGTAATTTTGTAATATGGACACGACGAACTATTTTTTCTCATGCAAAACAGACTATTTTCTGTTTTAAAAAGGTAAAACATAAAAGGTTTCAAATAATTTTATATCCCGCACGCCAACGACTTCATATCAAGTAGGCCAGTGATGTGACGCGTAAGGAGCATTCATTAGAATCTTTATTTATTATAATATTTGTTTTCTTTTCCATCCAATAGTTTTTTGAATTCTATGAATAAAAAGAAATTCCGGTCAGTAAATAACGTATTACAATGCGTTTCAAAATTAATGTACATCTACCTATCAAATCATTTCATTAAAATTAATTATTATGTACTGAGGGTTTTCGATATTGCTAGACCCATCTCTACGTAATGGCAAGATGTCGAGTGACACTAGCGCCGTCAACTTCAATAGAAGTAAACCTGTGACGTCGTAAGCGCTTAGGCGTCAAGGTCATTGTGTCATAGTTCCGGGCGACGCGTGCACGCACGCAATCACACTTAATCGATTAATCGCACGGCCTATACCTATAATTATTTTCATGATTATGAAATATCCAAATGATTGAGTCATTTTGATTCGATTACAAACTGTTTGGGTCGCGAAAAATTTGTGATCGACTCAGGTCTATATTTGTTCGCCGACACAGCTAAAAGTTTGCGAAACCGAGAGCCGCAAAGAATAGGTATTTTATGACTACCTAATATCCATCAAACGTGCCAGTTTTTCATTTGCATTAAATGAAAAATAAGCTATTAAAGTTTAGTACATCTGTATTAAAATAGTTACTTACCATCCATTTCCAAAACTACACATATGTTGCCACTTTTAATCACTACAAACAATGTTCCTGATCGTGACCTGACGTTAGATTTTAAATGTAAACTAAAACCAAAAGCAAACCAAACTCGATAGAAAGAAAGAAAAGCATAGACAACTATTCCTTACGAAATGTATCGTGCTTTGAACGCCAATGACTTGATATGAAGTAAACAGACTACGTTATGAAATGAATAGTGAAGTGGCTAATGTTACGAATTATTATTATTATCTCTAGCAACTCTATGCATGTATCTTCATCTCTGATAACGGATACCCATTTTTCTTAGTATAAATGTTCATAAAATAAAACAAATTACCATTATAACTTAACAGTTTGTATTTTTAATTGTAAATTTGAGTATCAATTTAAATTTACACATATTTTTTTTCATTATCGACATGATGTTACCGCCATCCCTACTTTCGTACTATACATTTATTATACATTTATACGTTGGCGTACGGCGACACATCGTGTTTAGTATAGCTGGGCGGCGAAAAGGTTAAGAAACCCTCCAGAGTCTCGAAAAACTAATTTAAAAAAATCCAAGTAGGTACTAAGGTACCTTAAAATATTTGTTTACACTGCCAAGGCACTCAGATGACACCTTGACCAGTAGATACTACAAAACAAAAGCGTAGAATACATGAATAGACAATTTAGATGAGCTTCCCTTTTTAAGCGTGAATAGCAAATGGGTGTCCTTCATAATCATCAGTTGAGTGCCAGTAGCTTCGACATCGTGTTTTATTAAACCATTGTGCTGTCACCTGATTGCACGCTGCAAAGAAACAAAAAAGGAAGCCACATAAACACAACCTACTCACTACCCAGTCTGTAATTCGTTGGGGATTTCGGCTGTTTCCAATAAAATTAAGCAGACAACAAGTCAATGAAATACATCTCTTTGTCCCAGTTAGACGGATTACGAAATACGGATAGATGGTGCGATAACATTAGACTAATGGGTCCTATGGACAGTTATTTTGAGAAGCAGATAGGAGTAGCAGCAGGAGCAGAACAGCTTTTCGTTTTTACTAATTCTCGCTAATTTGCAATAGAAACTACAAGCGCAAGCTAGTTTTTAACCGATTTCCCAAAAAGGTTATCAATTCGGCGGTTTTTTTTTTGTGTGTATGTTACCCAATTACTCCGACGTTTGTGGACGGATTTACATGATTCTTTTTTTTTTGTTGGAAGGGTCATAATCTTGGGGTGGTTCCATTTCCATCAGGTCAGGATATGATGATGGGATCCTATGGAAACCGAGGGGAACTTTTCAAAATTATATGGGTTGCTAGAGCGTTTGTTAATTTTTTGATATAGTATTTGAAATTATTACAATTTGATGAAGGTATGGAGTTGATCTGATGCTGGAGTCAAGAGACAGCCGAGGGAACTCCTCGAGGATTTGTAGCAATGACCCCGTGTTTGGGCTTCAATTATTTGTATTGAGAAGATCTTTACAGCTAGATGAGATGTAATTGTCATTAGGGGCCTGATGATGAAGTAGTATGATAGCTAAGGGAACAACGGTTAACAGTAGCTACCTGGTGTTTGGGCTTGATTAATTTGTAATGATGAGAACTTTACACCTAAATGGGGTATGAATGTCATTAGGAGCCTGATGATAAAGGAGTATGATAGCTAAGGGAACTTCTCAACGGCTGCCAGTAGCTACTTGGTGTTTGGGATTTATTTATTTGTTTTGATGAGAACTTTACACCTGTATGAGGTGTAATTGTCATGAGGAGCCTGATGATGAAGTTAGAAGGTAGATAGGTTAGAAGTGACACTGACTTCTCACCTATCAGTGGGTGGGTAACCTATAAGTATGTATGACTAATAATAGTTATTTTTTGCTTTTTAGTTTTTACCTTTTGCTTGTTTTTATTAGTATGTTACTTTTGTCATCTCCATTTTAATTATTATCTTTTAAATTCGTTATCAACATCTTGGTTGACGGTACTGAGATAAGGTCCCTTCTTTGTGTTAATATTGCAACACGACATCTAAGATCAGCTCACCTGTATAACGAGCGGGCGCACGGCGTGTATGCTCTCATCGCTTACATGCGACGGAAACGTGTCCAGGTCCAGGTCGATGATGGCACATTTCGAAGAGTTGCAGTAGTTGGAAACCTGTGAAATAACATGTCAATATCAATTTTCAATCATTTACCTGTGACGTCTATTTCAAAGAAAAACAAAACATTTAGTTGTGTTGTGACAAATATGCACTGGCAACTGACCACAGACAAAGAGTAAGGTTTCAATCCAAGATTGTAGAGCAGCACTGTATAGGGCAGCTTGGCGGCGGCGCGGATGAAGCTGACGGCTTCAGCATGCGCGTCGTTGCGCGCGTACGTCACGAGCGCAGGCAGCGTGGTGTTGTGCCACAGCTCCTGGTGGCCGTCCAGCCCCAGGAGCCGCGAGTACTGTTCTTCCTGCACCAGGTGGTTCTCTTCCACATCCCGCAAGTTCTCCTGCTGGGACAACGACGCCTGTACAGTAGTAAATCACGATTTTATTTTCAGAATTACCAAATTGATTGAAGTCCCTTTATGTTGCAGTACCTACTTATCCACAATGCATAATATATATTTTAATAGTGGTGTTACCACTAACATTTTGTGGTTACATAGATATGTAATTGGAATGGCTACATGTACTTTAAATTGTTTTGCAATGGCACATATTTTTATTTACATGTGTACCTTATATCGGTTATTTTAAGTGTGGGAGACCCATGCTTCGGCACGAATTGCCGGCACAACCAGAGTGATACCACGGCCTCACAGAAAACCGACGTGAAGCAATGCTTGTGTTGGGTTTTGTCGTGTGACTGAGGTTACCGGAGGCCCAATTACCCTCCCCTTCCCCAATCTCCCCAATCCCTGAATCCCCAACGATCTTCAAACTCCTAATCCTCAACAAGCCGGTAATGCACTTGTAACGCCTCTGATGTTCCAGGTGTCCATGGGCGACGCTGATTGCTTACCATCAGGTCATCCGTCGGGTCGTTTACCGGCTTACGCCATAATAAAAAATTTAAAAAATACTGGAAATACACAAGCTACCACCAGCACCCTGCTTCACTACTTTTGGTTACATTTTAATTACTGAAATGATTGGAGGTCTAATGTAACTAAAATATTGTCCACTATTAAAAATTATATCAGTTAGGCTAACAGAAACTTAGTTGGTATTGGTCCTGTGCCATTGAAATAAAAGTTGCAAATTAATATTTACAGGTTTATTATATATTATATATATAGATGAATATTATGTAGTATGTTCATTATACTTCTGAAGTTCTGACGAGACAAGAAGATAGGTAAATAATTCATATATGTCATGTTATAACTTCACCTTTTTATGGTTGGTACTCTCCATAGAGGGTACGAGCAGATGGATCACATGATGGTAAGCAATTGGAGAAATTAATTGTCAATCGCAACGCATGTGCATTGCTGGCCTTGTCAGTTTATCAGGATAGCAACAAAACAAAGTTAGAGGATGACAATACAATGTGTCAAAAAGGTGAAACTGTTACAAAATCACAAAATGGAAACAGTGAAATGCCTGTCGCCTATTAAAATAGGCAGAGATATAAATATATGAAGACCAATAGCATGATTCTAGCACATTATTGTAGACCATAATTTTGAAACATGTTTGATAGGATAATAATTATTGTTTAAAATCTCAGTGTAATGTGTCTCAACAGTCCAGCAACAAATATTAATATTAATTTGTTTAATTAATGCTAGTTTAAGTTAAATAATGAAGTATTTATAGTGAAGGCATATTATAATCACTAACCTGAAAATCCTTAAGGTGCTGATGTGTTTGCGTGACAATACTTTGAATTGACTGCGGCGGCTGCGAGTGGAATACTATAAGGAATACACTTATTGCAAAAACCGACGTTGAAAACAGCAAAAAACTCTTAGTTTTCATTTTGTCCGCACATTATCACACACGGCTTTCGACTCCAAACATATTATTCGTTGTTTACTGCTCTTTAACAGTCACACATTTAACGAATAGCACGAAGCACCCACTGATCCGGTTAAATCATTTTCGAATTGTGCTCTCAGAAAATAAAAGAAATCAATATCAATGACACGAGTCACCGCAAACTCACACGCGCCTAGTTATATTACATAGACGCATATTACTGTTATCACAATGTATAGCCGCGAACACAGTAAATTATTTACGCGGTGCTCGCTGTTTAATTATTTCATGTTGTCATATATTTTCGAAGCATTCGCTTTTCACAAAAAAGCGTTCGTTTAGTTGTCTTTCTTGCTGCTTTTGTTATTTGACACTCGTGTTTGATAGCTGTCACTACAAGATAAGCGGGAGGGGTGCCGCAAAAGTTGCGTTCACAATTAAATAATATTAGCCTTGGAAACCACGGCTTGTCATGTAGCCGTAGTGCGGGCCGTTTTGCTCGACACGCAAGTATTAATGACATAATTCGTCGAGCTCTTGCCTCCGTTGGCGTGCCAGCTACTTTAGAACCTAATGGCTTGGTACGCGACGATGGCAAGAGACCCGACGGTATGTCATTATTCCCTTGGAAGATGGTTAGGGCTTTAGTATGGGACGCCACTTGCGTTGATAGTCTGGCGCCATCCCATCTTCCAAGCTCAGCGTGTCGGGCCGGTGCTGCCGCTGCTGCTGCCGAGAACCTCAAACGGCGAAAGTATAATAGTCTGATTGGTAATTATGCTTTCGAACCGTTTGGGGTTGAAACTTTAGGGCCGTGGGGCCCAATTGCACATCTTCTTTACAAAGATATTGTAAGGAGGATGGTTGACTCTTCAGGTGATCGAAGGGCTGGCTACTATCTTGGGCAAAGGTTAAGCATTGCCATTCAACGTGGCAATGCTGCCAGTCTTTTGGGCACCCCAAAGAGTATAATAAGTATAGGGGGCACCCTACCTCACGGTAGCGATGAGGAAAATGTTTTCTTTGATGCCTTATGATTTATTTTTATTATTTTTTTAAGGTGTAAATATTTTAATTTTAATTATTTATTTCAATAACAAGTGTAAGTAATATCTGTAAGTATTTCGTAGAATTAATAAACTTTAATAATATCAAAAAAATGTTTCACTTGATAGTTAACAAGGCTTCGTTATAAACGATCACACATCATCAAATCAGTCAATTTATTTCAAAAAATAGATGAATGTGTTTATGTCTACAATAACGTAAATAAAAACTTATCGATGAACGGTTATTCCAGGTATTTTTAGAGCTATTGCTGTCACTTCGGTACGCACTGCATTTCACCATTTTATTTTAGATTTTTTATACGATCAATGGTAAAAACAATTTCTGCTGTGCGTGTGTATGTCATTGAACTCCTCCTAAACGGCTTGACCGATTTCAATGAATTTTTCTGTATACGTTTAAGTGGCGCCCTGGACGGTTTAGATTCAGAAATCAGCCCGGCAGATGGCGCTGCAGTCAATGTCTAGGTTATTTAAAACTTAATATCTTGAAATATCGTAATATTATGCAGGACAACGTCTGTCGGGTCCGCTAGTGTATGTATAAAACAAGATTGTAGGTAAAAGCTTATCAATAGGGCGGCACCAAAAACTGGCTTCATGGGATAATTTGTCTTTGTGTGGAGTAGTGTGGCTACAGGTACTGTAATCCAAAGAGTATAATAAGTATAGGGGACCTGTAGTTGTTGGACCATGGTCATCTGACATTTTTCAAAAATGACAGTGTCAGTGTCAAACGTTCCCAGACGTTCCAAGTTTGTTTTTATTTTAATTATTGCGCATAATGTTGACGAGCATCTCTGTCTAACTTACCAATTCTTTTTGACTATTGCATGAAAAACAACAGTAAATGTTTTTGTGTTATGCTTTCTAAACATTAACTTGTTGTTTCTCTGTAATATGAAACAAAAAAGGGGTTCATAAAAGAATCCGGTGTTATAAAATTGTCGTTATAATAATTGTATTGTATTACTCAAATACTTACTTTAGTTAATCTGTTACAATAGCTGAAACTATGTCGAATATATCGAAAAGAAGAAAAGAGGGATCGAGAACCAAGATCAAGGTACGGAAGGAGGTCATGTCGTGGCCCACTCAATCACAAAGTTGAACGGCGCCTACGACAGCATGGTATTTCATAGCGGGCCTGAGAAGCTACATTTCTATTGTCTACTTACAAATAACGTTAAAAGATATTCGAGTAATTTATCAAGTACTCTACGGCATTCATTTTTATCTCAGAATCATGACTATAATTAACATATATTGTCATCATAGCTTTGAAAGTGTGATGAATAACTAAAATGTTAAGTCCAACTTGTTTTTGATCTTGGTAAAGCCATAATATATATAATTTTCACATTGATACTCAATTATAGACCATATACCAGGTATTTGTTTTTTAAATTTAATAATAAATATTAAAAATTCACACAAAGTTGTTATCATGCATGAGTGACATCACATGATAATGATAAACTGACCACTGAGGTTATTTTATAATTTGTTTGGTGTCAAACATAACTTTATTCAAAGGCTTTATGCTTGCTTATGGTTATAATTGAATAATATTATTGTGTAAATATTTATTTTGTACAGAATTAGTTTTTCTCACTGCCTCGATGGCTGAGTGGTGGCAAGTGCGACTTCTGGGCAAGGGGTCTCGAGTTTGATTCCCATATCGGGTTTGACTGATAACATGTGAAAAGTGGGTGTTACTTCGGTGTGCACCTCTGCCTACCCCTTTGGGGATAAAAGGCGTGATGTTATGTAATTAGTTTTACCAGAATCTTGTTTATGCATTTCTAAAATGGTGTGTAGGTCAACAAAGCAAATAGTTTGAATGCTTGTTCATGAAGGGATATTTATTTATGTTTAACAGGATGAAAACAACATTTATTTAGTACTAAATGATAATAATTTAACTCACAGAGCATGGGAGACCACAAAGAGTTTCTGAAGCGCATCACTAAGACACTGTACTACGGCCAACTACCCACATTACCCTGTCTAAGTCTACCTGTTACAGGTATGGTGCACATACAATGGTAATGCAATAGCAAATTCTATATCACACATTATATTCAGCAACATAAATAAACAAATCATTATCTACTATATAAAAATAAGTCGGGTTTTCCTTCCTGACGCTAAAAGTCCAGAACGCACGAACCAATTTCTACGGTTTTGCATTCGTTGGAAAGGTCTCGGGCGTTGGTAAGGTTTATAAAATATAAAAAAATACATTTTCCTTTATCTTTTAATCACCAAACGAAATGTTAAAACGAAGCCATCTGGTGGCGAAACGGAGTTTGCCGGGTTTGCTAGTGCAATATAAGATTAATAATGTTGGCCTTAATTAATTTGAAATGTGAAAGTCAATTTGTGAAATAGAAAATGTAGGTAATTGTAATTATTTTTGAAATGGTGTTTGGGGTTTACAGAGATTTCGTGTGAGCTGTGGTCGGTGTCTCAACGCGGGCGGTCGCTCCGGCGCCTGCACGCGGATGCGGCGGCCGGCATCGCGCGCAGCGCTTGTGTTTCACCGTGCGCGCTCGTACTGGCCATCCTCTACCTAGAACGACTGAATGCTTGCAACCCTGATTACATCGCCGCTGCTGCGCCTGCTGATCTCTTCCTTGTTTCACTGGTAAAACAATGCTGTGATTGTATAACAACATTCTTTATAGTTCAGTAATAAGGTAGTTTTGGCTGGAATGTTTTCCGGGAGCCTTGAATATTGGCAATTTTGTAGATTTTGATGTGCAACATGTACATGAAATCTGAAAGAACACATCAAAATCTACAAAATTGATAATTTTTATCACTCAAAAATCCAGCAACACCCATGTATATTATTATGTTTTGTACATTTTTAGATGGTAGGTAACAAGTTCTTGCAAGACGATGGAGAAGACGACGATGTGATGTGCTCTGAGTGGGCTGCCTCCGGGGGCTTGGAGTTGAACCAGCTGAAAAAGCTTGAAATTGATTTCCTCAATGCAATAGTTAGTATTCAATTGATGAACTAAATCAATATGATTGAAATATGACAATAACCTCTAATAATAATTTCTATATTTTTCTCATCAACAGGATTGGAATGTGTTTGTGAGTGAGAAATCATTTGAAGCAGGACTGTTGTGGTTGGAACGGCAAGTAGCGCTGAAGCAGGCGCAGCTGCGAGGCTTCTTTACATACAGCGACCTGGTGGCTGCCAGTGACGCCGCGTTGCTGTCGTCGCTGGCCCGCGGACTGGGTGCGGCCTGCGCATCCTTAGCGCTGGCGTACGTCACCAGCCTCGTGGCCTTCCTGACGTCCACGCTGGTCATGTCGCATGCCTGGCTGCCCGCTCTACACTATATGGCCACGCGCACTCCACTCGCCCCTCTCACTACTCTCGACGTGCTCGATACAAATATTATAACGCACAGTTTGCATTCGGAACTGACCTCATTGACCTCATACACCAACAATGCAACTCTACACCAGTCCACTTTAGATATACTCACTGAAGAGACTGTTTCTGACAGCCTAAAGTGTTGCACGAAGTGGACCAAGTATCAGGATAGTACGACGAGCAAGAGGAATTGGTATGACGCAATCGTAGTGTACGACTGGAAGACCTTGGAACCGTGGTGGTCGACGACATCCGTACTCAACTGGCTGTACCAGAGCTCTCTCGTAAACCCGATGCAGCGTTGGCTGGACAAGCTCGGCTCAGTAAGCGAGCTAGTGGCGCGCGATGTCGGCGGATCCGCACCGCTGCGGAGCTGTGGCGCGGCGCCGAGCTGTCTGCGGCAGGGCCTCAACCTCAGCAAGCTGGGCGCGCTCGTGGCCACCGTGTCCGACCGGTAGGCCCGCGCTGAGACCTACAAGGCTGATAATACGGACAATGAGTGACGCCGGGTTCACAGGACAATTTACAACACCCACAATTTGATTAGGAACTATTTCAAACTTTGTTATTAAGCGTAAAAACTAGGCCTTAAAAGCTAGTAAACATAACTATAACTTATTTTAAGCCATTGTTCAATCATTTGTTCGGATTTCAGTAAAGATTGATTTTTGCTTTATAAATAATGTTCGAAACGCGTTGTAAAATGTCTCGTGAGCAACTTTAATGTTCTTTAAATAAATAGTTGTACTTCTATTCTTCCGTGGCTATGGAATTGTATCTCAAAACAAATGAGAGAAACGTATGAGCATCAACATGGCAGAAACAGATGGTACCAAGGCGAGGCTACTACTCTGCGTAGCGACGATACATCGCAAACATCAACGACACCGCACAACGTATCGTGTCGTGTAATAATACTGTTCGACGTAAACTTTCCGATGCGTCGTCGCCTCGCAGTGCATTGACTTCGCCTTGTCCTGAAAGTATTGTTGTTGAGAACGTAGTCTCTTACTACAGATAATTTAAAAAAAGATATCATTTGTTGTAAGAAACCTATTGTCTATAGTTAGCGACAATGATTGACATAATTATATGTAGTAATTGTTCAGAAGGAACAGTTGAACGTTTCCGATATTACAACTATTACAAAATGGTAAGTCCATTATTACAACACTTTATAAAGAATTTAAATATATATTTTTTACAAACTTGTCAGCGACGTAATAGCATTGGCGAAGGATTCAAACAATATCGCTCTAGTGCTATCAATATTTCTATCTATTTTTGTATGTGATGTGGTGTATTAAAACTATCTGCAATGAAAATACTGTTTTATTTTGTAAAAAAATATAATACAATGTATATTAATATTATCACTATCGAGTAGTCAGGACTTGCGTCGGTTACACTTATCACAATCGGTTGCTTATAAATTACCACTTCAACAGAAATGACAAATGTTCATTAAACTTTATCTTAATGTATACAGTACATGAGATTAAGAAAAATAAAGTAATAGAGAACATACGATTGTAAATGCGTTAACATAAATGCGAATGAGGTTCACTGAAGTGGAAGGCAGGAGTAAATCTCAAAAATCGATGTATTGAAATTGTTTTCACATGAAGTATTACGTATAAAATTCGGAAGGAAAACTACCAGAGAGCTCATTACGTATTACTTTATTAGTGCTCTTTAATATAAATTTAAAATATTGAGTATATTACCTAAAAACAAAGTGTACAAAATTGTCGAAGTATTTAGCTATTTGCTTGTTTCGAAACTTTCAATAATGTTATCAAATGTTTATATTCGTTGAAATTAATACATAAATTATGCAACCATATTTTAAAAGAACTTCATGTAAATGAAATTTACAAATTGCATTTTTGGCACTATTTATTGTTAATATCATATATCCTAAACTATGACGACTGCATTGATTCTATGACTATTACCTGCTACTCTGCTAGTACTTACTATAGTCATTCGTGACAGTGCTTATCACAGGATGTATTTCAAAAATTTTGAGATTAAGATACATTATTATTAATCATGATAATGATACAATTGTGTCAGATCACACCTCTGATAAAGTGAGAAATAGTATATGAAATTATTTGCCTTATAAACAAAAGGGTATAAAACCATGCACCACAATTAAAATCTACAACTGCGGAAGACACATCAGTCAAATTGCTTAGAAACAACCATTAAACAACCTAGCCGCCGCGTGCTGTGGCCAGTACATCACTCGTAGAGGCCGGGGTGCAGGTACAGCCTCTTATTGAAGCCCCAGCGGTCCACCGAGGAGGTCTGCACCTTGAACTTGTCCTGCATGCGCTGGTCAACCAACGTGAACAGCTTCTCCACGTGGCAGTCGTGTGCCCGCGCAGCGAACACCTCGCACAATGCTTGGATGTACCACGACCCGCGCTTGCCGTCCCGGTGCGCCACAAGCCCTGTGAAATTTATGATTAACAAAAAAATTATATTATCTTCTTACGGCTCCATACAACTAATGTAATAATCAATCCTTACTATTTATACAAATAATATACTAAAGGGAGCGCACTGACCGGGAAGCGTGGAGTGCGCGATAAGTATGTCGGAGTAGAGCGGCGTCTGTCGCGGGCGGTCGTACAGGTGCAGCGCGGAGGACGCGGCGCTGGCGGGCGGCTCGGGCCGGCCGTCGTACACCACGTCCCCCGCCGGCATCGGCATCTGCTGTGCCGGGCTCGAGCTGTGCCACGCGTAGTCCGCACTGCTGCCTCTGTACACGACACGATATATATGACAATACTCGGCATACAACTCTATGCAGACGGCGGCCTATGAAATGGAGAGTCAGTAACCTGCACATTTGGAAGATGAACACTTTGGGGACTCCGATGAGGGCGGGCATGTTGCGGTTGTTGAAGTACGTCATGAAATCGTACAGCGAGATGAGCTGGCCGTCCTTGCAGCGCACGTCGGTGTCGGAGGAGTGCGGCCGCTCGTACCCGTGCGACGATACCACGATGAACACGCTCTCAATGTTCACCAATACGTTGTTCAGAGACTTTAGCGTCTCCATTGTCTCCTGGCGATAACATTCAGATTGATGAGTTCAGAGGAAATAAAGGCATTGTCGATCATAATAATAAACTTGAATTGCGTCATCATTTGGAGGAACCAAATTCTGATAAGGAAGGTATTTCTTCAGAGGACCAGGGTCTTGAAACCAATCTCAATGTCAATGCAATTTCAATCCAATAAAATCTCGGATAAAGTCTTTTCGTTACGGTGCATTTCGGAGAAAGTCTTGTCAAAGCACCAAAAGGTATTTTGTGCATTTATAGACCTAGAAAAGGCTTATGGCAGAGTGACAGAGTGTCAACTCTGTCCGTGTATGGGGTGGATAGCCACCTGATTCGGGCACTTAAATCCTTATATAAGGACTCTAGTGCCTATGTCAGAATAAATGGGGACTACACAGAGTGGTTTAACATTAATCGAGGTGTTAGGCAAGGCGGTGTAGCATCTCCTTGGCTGTTCAACCAATTTATAGACAGCTGTTTGAACGATCTAAAAGTAGGAGAGTCAGGATGAAAGGAAAGGTATGAAAGTAAATGTGAACAAGACGAAAGTGTTGGTGATAGAAAGAAATGAGGTGATAACAGAATGTCAGATAATGATAGGTGATGAAAAATTGGAACAAGTGAATGTTCCAATTTACCAGAGATGGAAAGTGTGACGGAATATTGGAATGAGAGTGAAAGCGGGAAATAGTGTTAATGGTGCTTTACACTATGTAATGTCGAGTAAAATAATATCCAGCAAAACTCGACTTACTGTAATGCAGTGTGTATTGACACCAACGCTTATGTATGGTAGTGAATCAGGGGTGTAGCAGAAGAAGCATGAAAGCAGGATTAATGGGTGGAAAGGAAATGAGAGCCCTGGGAAGTATGTGTGGACTAAAATTGAGTGATCGAGTGAAAAATAGTGTTATTATAGAAGTGTGGATTGAAAGATGATGTAGTGACTGTACCGTCTCGGTCAATATGTTGTCGGGAATATTTGTATGGTGGCGGGTAGATAGTTATATTTATTTAATAAACCAGTTTACTGCTAACTCTCGCCTATTATTGACGCTGCATTGGCGACGAGGATTAAAATTTATCCGTTTTAAGTTGTGTCAGTATTAAGATGCCTATTGGAAAGTTAGAACCGTTTAACTTAAGTTCTAAACAGTGGCCGGCATATATACGGCGGGTTAATCAGTATATTTTACTGAACGACGTGAAAGACAACCTAAAAGTGCCGATGCTAATAACAATCGTGGGCGAATCTACGTATTCGCTGATGTGTGACCTGTGTTCTCCTGACTTTCCTGAAAATAAATCTTATGAAGATCTAGTGAAATTAGTGGCAGATCACTTGGAACCGCAGCGATCCGAGATCGCCGAGCGCCACGTGTTCCGGTTGCGACGACAACGTGCTGGCGAGCCCTTGGCTGAGTATTTACAGGCTCTCAAACATCTAGCAACGACTTGCAACTTTGGCAAATGTAAGAAGTGTTCTAGCCTAGAAGAAAACCTGAGAGATCAGTTTGTTTCGGGTTTGGCAAATGACGCAATGCGTTCTAGAATCTTTGCCGAAAGGAAGATAGAATACAAGGAGGCGGTGGAGTTAGCACTAGCTCTGGAGGCCGCAGAAAAGCACGCGGAGGTGAGCGGCAGCACGGGCCTGCCGACTACGACCTTGGGTGCCGGCGGCGACGCGGGTGAAGACCTGCACTATACGCGCGGGGCGCGCGGGCGCGGACACGCTCGCGGGGCGCGCAGCGCGGGCGCAGCGGGTGCGCCGGAGCCGGCTGGCGCGGGGGGCCCGGCTCGGGGCGCGGAGGCGCAGGCATGCTGGCGGTGCGGTAAGGCGCATCGCGCGGACAGGTGCCGGTATGTAAACTATAATTGTGATTTGTGTAAACAAAGAGGTCATTTGCGAGTGATGTGTAAATTTGTGAAAAATAGCGAAACTCAGCAAAACTATATCAGTGGTGAGGACGATTGTGGCGATATTTTTAATATTGTGGGTAGGCGTAAGGACAATAAACCGTTTTTCATTAATGTAATCATAGATAACTTCGAAACTAAGTGCGAAATTGATACTGGTAGCCGCATTTCGGCTATTAATGAAGAAATGTATTCCCGCCAATTTGCTCACAAAACGATTAAGGCGGATAATTTGATATTACGTAGTTACGCCGGTTCACCAATTGTATCACTTGGTTATATTGAAGTTAAAGTTAGATTACAAAATGTGGAAGTGAATTCCTTGCCCCTGTATATAATTAAAAACGGAGCACGTCCTTTATTAGGAAGAGACTGGTTGCGCGCCCTTAAAGTAAATCAAATTAATCTATATATAAGATACTAGCTGTTACCCGCGACTTCGTCCGCGTGAAATAACGACTTCTGTATAAATTGGGTTTTTTAAATTAGTCTTTGTCAAGGTATATTCTACGGCTGTACAACTGGAACAAATATCATCACAATCGATTCAGTACCTAGGTTATATTTATTGAGAAATGAATTTATTTTCGTGGTTTCTAAAATAAACAATCCCATAGAGGTTTTACCCGTACAGTGCCCGTCTCGTGAGGTTTCACTATTCTATGTTTGCAAATCAATGTTGTATCGCATTTCAATCAAATAGATATAGTGATTTTAACAGCACAGTTCCCGGTTTCGTGGGTTTTTCGGGTTAAAAACTTTTAGATGTCCTTTCCCGGGTTTCAAACTATCGCTGTACCGAATTTCACCACATAGGTTCAATGGTTTAAAAGGTAAGAGCCCCTCTTTATTTCAACGTCCTTGGTCCTGGTTTTTTAGCGCATAGTTTCCGTCATTTTGGGATTTCCTCTCTCCTATAATGTGACCTGATATGTACCGGTGCGACGTGCGTTACTATCGCAAACATTTAAATGAAAAAATAGGTATTCTGATATTAGGTTAGTTACATATGATACATGTACTTTAATGTTGATATTAATGTCCTCTATAAGACTTAACACATCCCTTGGCTCTATTGTCCATAATTTCCACAGCGTAATCAATACCAATAATATAAGGAGTTTTTTTGGTAGTTTTTCACACATCGGGTTGTCATTACCTAAAGGAGATTTTTTTTTGAGGTCGGAAAATCATCCAATCACTTCTCCCGCCTTGGGTTAGGTGAGAGGGAGTGACAGATTCTTACTGACTAAAATCCACTCCGTTCCTACTCCTGCTCGTCGAGCCGGAGCCCCGTCAACTCGTTAGGCCTCCCGCGGCACCGTATCGAGCATCAGCCCTACTGGGCTCCATCTATGATGGTGTCATGGCTCTGTAAGGCGCGCGCCGTATGCACGGGACTGGTTCTGGTCGGGTGGCGAGCTACCCTTGCTCTTCGTCTACAGACCCGCACTTACGGTGGCCGGTGGCCGGCCGATCTCCGACGCCCAGAGTGTCTCCCGCGACGGCTGGGGCGTGAGGAAGTTCATTCCCTCACGCGCTCCGCTTTCTCCTTGGCAAGCATAACTGCTTCGCAGAAGGATGCGACTGCATCCCAATCCCCCTCGCTCCATGGCCTGAACCAGAGCCGAACGCGAGAGGTCACCGTTTCCTACATCCCTGAGAACACGGCGGTGCTCAGCCCATGCAAGGTACACCGCAACGGTATGCTCCACCGTGTTCTCCGGGCGGTCCTTGCATTGATGGCCTCTCTAAAGCCACTTTTAAAGAGGGGACTTTCCGCTGCAATGACAGCGAGCCCAGCCCTCGGTTACCTAAAGGAGTGTTTCGCTGTGTAAATGAGGTTACCGGAGGCCCAATTACCCCTCCCCCAGCCCCCCCAATCCCTGACAATCCTCAAATTACCAATTCTCAAAAGACCGGTAACGCACTTCTAGCACTTCTGGTGTTACAGGTGTCCATGGGCGGCGCAGATTGCTTACCATCAGGTGATCCGTCTGCTCGTTTACTGGCTTATGCCATAAACAAACAGCAAACTATCATAGTGAATTTGGCCTTGACGGTCTAAAATGAAAAGGACTAATATTATTTTTTAGCTATGTGCATTTAGCTAGTTTTTTTGATATACATATAAAAAATACGAATTCAAGTAAACTGTAAATATTTTATTCGTTGTTTTATCTCCTTAGACTGCTGTCAACCTCTTTGCATACCTTAATATTAATACCATAGTATAAAAAAAATCTATGACACATTGACTTTGTAAACTCACTTGTCACACAAATGTCAGATGACTTAAGAAATGTATACTAATAATTTAAATTTGTATGTGCTTGTTTGTTTGTTTGTCCGTATTTCACGACAGAACGGAGTCAGGAAGGTTTTTGATTTGAGATAGTTGAATAGATGAGTATCATAGGCTACTTTTTGGCTTTTTCTAACCCCCTTCCACTTCCGTGAAACAGAGGTGAAAGTTTGTATGGGGTATTTTGCAATTTTCAATGTGGAAAGCTAACAATTGGTATGCGGGTTATTTGTGACCAGCATAGAATCGTGCATCATTTCATTTTTTTATTGTAAATCCTTCCCTCACCCCATTAAAAGAACGCGAGAGAAGCCGCAGACAGAGGCTAGTCTATGATTAAATTGTATTCAGTCAATTGAATTCGTATTTTGTCTTTAAAATCCCTGATCCCTGACGATAAAAAGTAGCCTATGTTTTATCTCGGGGTCTAGAATTTCTGTATACCAAATTTCATTCAAATCCGTTCAGTAGTTTTGGCGTGAAAGAGTAGCAGACAGACAGACAGACAGAGTTACTTTCGCATTTATAATATTAGTTAGGATTTCTGGATTAGGACGACACAGTCAGTTAAACACAATTGAGTTTCTCTGTAAGAAAAGATTTATTGTTTATAAAATATAAAAATCTAACAAATATGTGTGATAACTTATTAAGTTTCAAACTATTACAAACCTGTAAGAAAAGAAACGACATTTAATGTTATTATTAACAATGCCAGTTCCTAATCACAATTAGAGGTATAATACTTAATTAAAGAAATTAATAACCAATTTATTGTTC